TACACCGTTCCGTTAACATTAATATCTGTATACGGGCGTAATACGCTTCAAACTAGATCATTCCATCAATTTTCTTCGTTACCAAGTGATGATTCACCACCAACCATATTACTCGCTGCGCGTCGTTTTCTCGCTCAAGCACCTTCAATGTCACGAATTTTAGAGAGGATTGACTGCGATTTAGATCGTTGTTATTATATTAATCACCCATTTTATTCACTGCGTATCGAAAATATTTAAAATATATTCGAAAATAAATATAAATAAATAACATTAAATATTAAATATGTTTTTTAATTTATTAAAATTTATTTGTAGTTAATGGGTGAAGTTTTCGATTTATAAATTAAATTTTATAATGAACAAATTATAAATTATGGCACATGATTCAATACCTGGTTCCTCGTCAACAAATTATAAACATTTCAAGGTTAATTATAAAACGTGTCGTCGATTGGGTCGTATCGCATCGCATCAACAAATACGTGCACACCTTTCTGCATATTTCTCTTACAATTATTTTACTTTATTTTGCAGTAATTTATTTATAACAAGTTGACAATTTATGTAGGACACATGACTTCCATTTCTCATTTGTTCTATTAATTATATTCCAAATAAATGAATGGATTATTGTTTTCGGATTAAAATGGATTACCTTCCTCTACATTTCGTTATTGCGGGATGAATTATTTCAATGCCATTTCCTATGGAGCGATCGATAGGTCATATGTTTGATACTATTTTATCAATATTATTAGATAACCATTAAGGCATTCGGTAAAGATCTTCTCGTAAGAGAATAAATTATCCTATCAATCACAGGCGTGATAATTTTGCAATCGAGGTTCATTAGGGAGGTAAAAAATGAATAAAAAATATAAACGAATGAAAAAAAAATAAATTCTAATAGAATCTAACCGAATTTTCTTATTCATACATATATTTTAAAGAATAAGGAAACATGGATTTGAAATTTCAAAAAGATTTAAAGAGGTAATTATTGGTAATCTAGAGAATCACTTCGAGAGTCTAATATCAGCCAGTATATGTCATAACTACTAAAGGTTGCCCGTAACCGAGTATGACAAACAGTATCAAACGTTTTTTCGCTAAATTAAGACGATATTGAATAACCATTGTAACAGGGGCAACGATGGTCAACAACTGTGAAGTAACGGATTTTTTTTTCCAAGAAGCTATTATAATTATAATTGTCATTATTATTATTTCATTATTTCTATTTTATTATTATTATTATTATTTTTATCATCATTATTATTGTTATTATTGTTAGTATTATCATTTTTATCGTCATTATCATTATTTAATTAATCACCAAGAACACTATTAACTGTTAAAATTGTTGTTTGATTTATTTATATATTTGTTATTATTATCAATTATTATCAAATATTTTTATTATTAATATTCGTTGCTGTTTATTATGTAATTATAAATTTTGTAAACTCATAATTTTGCTTATTTCGTTTAATCGTTTGCTCATTACACATCGATAGGAATCTGTTTCAGAAGTTAGTAAAGAGCCTTAGTATTAGTTACACTGCAGTGCATATATCTCTTCTTTTTTCCGTATAACAGCGCCCACCATTAGTACTTTAGATACTACTGATTTTCGTCAGAGAGTTTAATGGTAATATAGGTGCGCAGTTTCACCTTTTTATAATTTGCTTAATCAGTAGGGAATGTAACTTATGAATCGATTATCCTTGCAGGATTGTCTGAGAGTAGCGAGGACGAGGATTAAGTTAGAGTGAGTAAATATCGATATATCATTGTCAGAAATTAGGGAAATTAGATAATTTTTTCACTGAAATATTTGCTTGACAATATTTTGGAATAAGAAGGATAAGAATTTTGTTAACTTTTGCATCGGATAATCCCCCCTGTGAAGGCATTGCTCTACCCTTCAAAACTGCAGTCTAATTTTGCGCGCTATTCATAAATAATTCGACTAGTGCCATGAAAAAAGTGCCGTGCTGAAATTGTTTGACAGTTTTTGCGATTTTCATCGACTATTCCCATTTCTTAAAAAATATAATTGCCATCGTTTGCGATTGTTATATGTTGCCATAACAAAGTTTTCAGTTGAACGAAGATGGCACTTAGCGAAGTTAAAACAGTTTGCATGAAATCTCTGGAAAATGCGAGAGTTGGAAAAGATGCCGGCGCTATTCAGGATGGCAAAGACTTCTACAAACAGTAACATTACATTAATTCGATTGGCTTACATAAAAACTGAACTGAAAAAAAAAACGTTGCTTTGCCTTATCAAAACATCATTTGAGTCCATTTAAATTGTAGTAAATTCAAAGTGTTTCAGTTATATAGTCAACAATATTTGCTAACATTTCAATATTCGTGATATTCGAAATCTTTTCGAAATCTATCGATTATAAATTATTAATAAAAAATTGCAGTATGTTTGAGAATTATCCAGATTTGCGTGTTTATTTTAAAGGAGCAGAAAATTATACTTCGAGCGATGTGCAAAACAGTGAGCGATTTGAAAAACAAGGTGAGATGTGTGTTATTCAGTAATAGTAATCAACTGTAGTAGTGTAAGGCGAAAATATGGAAATTTCATATCTTAAATAATTTCTTATATTGACAGCTAAAATTCGAAAATTATGGCATTTCCGATCTTTACTTCCCAACAGGGGTATATCGTGTATGAAATCCGATAGGAGATGGGCATCCGCCTGCATTTCTATATTCAATTGGTTCTCTCGTCGTGGAACATCCTTCTAATAGACTGTGCAGGCTATCAAAACAGAAATATTAAATACTTTTAATAATAAATACTTGATAAATACTTTAATAAATACTTTTAGGGGAATAAGATGAAGAATTTTAACTTACTATGTATGCATCATTCGCATAACTTTCTCTTCACCTAAAGATTGATTAATGTCTTTTAAAGATTGCTCCGTATTGTCCTCTTTTATAAATAATATTCATTTGATTCATTGTACGGATGCGATATTTTAGGTCAAAGAATTTTACTGGCGATGCATATACTGGCAAATACATACGATGATCCAGAAACGTTCAAAGCTTATGCAAGAGAAACTGTTAATCGCCATCGGCAATTTAAAATGGATCCTTCGTTATGGAGTGTAATAAAATTTTTTCGTACATTTTTTATCGGATTTATCGGATTTCATTGACAGTTTCACTTTAAAAATACTTTTTTTTCATTTTCATTAATGAATTAATTAAATAATTTATTCGATAAATAATTGGAATTGACTTATTTTTAGATTTTATTTTATTTATTACACCGTTACAACTCGTAAATTCAATTTTGTTGAACGTGAGAATAGGAAAAAAAATGGTTTTTTAAGCAGTACATTTTTGCATGAATATTACCATCTTCATTAGACACTTATAATATTGGAAGGTAGCGAAGTTAAAATTTTAGGCTTACCAATTGGTTTTTCTCTATTTTATGATAAGATTCACATTGCCCAAATTATTAAATGAGTTCATATCTATCAATTTATCGCCATTAACCAAAATTGGAGTTGTTTCGTTTCAAGCAGTTTTAAAGAAATTTTAGATCTAATGTGGTATGTATTAAAAAAGTCCATTACACAATTATTTTTCCCGTCAAACTCTGCTTGTAATAAGGCAGAGGAATACGAAATAGGAATGCATCTCATTTAATGATTAGCTATAGTCTTAGTAGTCTTAGTCCTAGGCTATAGTCTTTTCCATATTTTTTGGTTTCAATTTACTATAAAATTTTTTATTTTCTCATCTTATAAAATACAATGTTTTAATTAAAGAAACAGTAAGCAAATGCATAAAAATTTATCGCAAAAAATGTCTCAAAATCGCTTCTAAAAGAATTTTAATAAAACTAATTTTGGCTTGTTTTGTAGGCATTTTTTGCTGTCTTCTTAGAATATTTGCAACAAAAAACAACTGTGAACGATGCAGTTAAAAACGCTTGGAAAGAAGTTGGAGACGTTTTTGCTGCTGAATGTCTCGAACATTTGAAAAATCTTGGCCTTCCACATTAATTTTTCCATCTATTAATGACGTTGTTTTAACTAAGAAATATTTTTTTCTTCGAATTATTTTCGTTTCCACTTTCACTTTTTAATGAATTAAAAACTTTCATTTTGATAAAACTTTTATTTTTATTGCAAAATAAGGAAATTAACAAGTCATTGGGGAACGATTATTCAAGAAATTAAATTAAATTAAGAATTTCGATTCCAAGCAATGAAATAAAACAAGATTTTTTGTTAGAAATTTTATGCTAAAATATTGAAATATTTAACTTTTAACTAAATACTTTTTAATATTTATTAGCTGTCACTAGCGGAATGTTTTCGCCCAATACATTCGGCAGCTCATAAGTTTTTTTCAGCTATTTTTCCTTTATATTTTTTGCGTTCATTAATCAAAACACTAAGGAAAAGAGGGCTTAGTTCCATATGGAACAAAAAATGAGTTAGAAAAAGAAACGACAAAAGAAATAAAACCACAAGTTGCTTTATAATAACCAAACATGAAATGGGATAGAAAACCATTTTTCAGTTATCGAAAGTCTGACCTGAGCAAATCAAAAGCAAATGAATCGAAGATCAAGCCAAATGTTGGTTGATACGTGGTTTAAATTTCGTAAAATAAAAAACGATGAATCACGTAGCTCATGCAAAGATAGTGACATTTCTTGACGGCAAAAAAATATTCAGAAAATGGAACTGCCAGATCCAACGTATCCTATCATCAATGAGTTTCACAAGTGGGAAAGGATGGATGGATTAGGTATATCGTTTGAAACGAAAACTTTGGGCTTTGAAAATTATTTCCACATTATGATTTTTTATACTGCGAAATGAAGATCGTCTTCACTAGAAGAGAGTTTCGCTGAGAAAAGGCCTCACGAAGATCAGCTGTTGAAGATTAGAAAAAATTGGATCCACAGCTACGTAAAGCTGCGATGCTGCGCCGAAATCCAGGAAAACCAGAATAGTAATCGAAATACATCGTTGCAAGTAATAGTTCGAGAAGAATCGAGATTACTGAAATATTTTTAACGAAGCGAATTCTCTTATTCAAACTATCTTAGATTAGATTACAAGAGCATGGACAGTTTTTTGAACTCTGCTTTTCTCTTTTTTCAACTTTTTTTTCGTAAAGTCTTTTTTGTAAAGCATTTCATATGCTTCAGAAATGGAATAGCCAGATCCAATTTCTAAATCTGAGCTACCTCGAACAGAAAATCCAGAAGTATTTTTGTCTATATAAGCTATTATCTGATGAGATGAGCTGAAATCAAATTTTTATATTATAATATCATGCCTATGTGATAACGTCATCTGTCTACTTTCATCTACTTTTTTATTTTCTTTTTTTGCTGTACAGAAAATTAGAAACACGAATTTTTAAGATGTATGGCGATTACCCACTTCCAATATTTAATTTTACAAAATTCCTTCAGAAACCGGCTCTACAAAACCGGTTTTCTGCACAGATTTAACAAATTTCCTGCCACGCGGGACTTTTATTCGTCAACAATATTATAAGTTCTGCGGCCTATGTTCTCTTGATGATTATCTTACTGCGAACGTTCGAACACTCAAACTTGGGTAATTAAACCACAAAGTATAATTGCTTCAAATATTGAATTTTCGTTTTGCGTCACTGGATTCGTCGATTTTGAAGGCCAAATTTTGATGTTAATCTTTGCCAAAATTTTTTTATTCAAAGATTTTGTATTAAGTTCAACTGAATTTTAGACAAAACAGCAAAAATGATAAATTATCAGTAAAAATCTTTAAGCAATAAGATAGAAGAGCTGCTGTAATAAAATTAAAGGCTTTTTCATAGCATATTTAATCAAAGTCAGTGATAGTGAACGATAGAACAGCCCAATTTCACATGAACCCCGACTAGACAGAAATTTTATCAGCTATCAAATTTCTCATTATCCAACTTCGAATTCAGCGCTTTCCCAACCCACAAAAAGCCTTTGATCATTCATGCCAGTGAATCAGTAAATCTTTCAATAAACAGATAAGAGTTCATAAAATATCATAACGGGATTTTCGACATATCAATCCTCAAATTTCAGAACTGCACGCAAACTGAAAAAATAGGTTCAAATCAATTACAACCATTGATTTACAATTTGAAAACTATAAATGTGCTACAATTGTTATGCAAAGAAAGAATACGAGACTGATGGAATTGTTCACCATTAACAATCACAGATAGAGGTAATACTGTCAGACAATTTTGCTGTATGCCATCATTTTACTATGCTTGTATTATTATATTGCTATGCTTGTATTATATTATATTATAAATGGATTTCTTTTTCAAAAATCAACCTCTTTCCAGAGCGAAGCAATTTCAATGAGTCATTAATATAAGAGAATTCCATTTGATGCGTTATGAATTCATCGATTTTTATTTCTCCAACCAAATATTTTTCTACCAATTTAGGTACAGCATCTCTGCTCTTCCATCCTGAATAAAAATATGAATAATTAAAATCATTGTAAAATACAATTCTTCACATATTATATGCGAAGTCCCCATTATATATCCATGTTCTACTGGATTCAAAATTAGTACAAATCATTGAATCCATAATGATTGTACCAACCTCCAAAAGCAGAACCTTTCCATGTTCGACCAGTAACAAGTTGGAATGGTCGTGTGGATATTTCTTGGCCAGCACCAGCAACACCAATGATGCATGATACACCCCAGCCTTTATGTGCTGCTTCAAGAGCTTGACGCTATGAATTGAACGTTAAAATACAGTGATAAAAACAGGAGAATTTTAAAGCCTGTATAAATTTGAGGAACAACAAAAATATTTAGGTGAAACAAAAATAAGGATCAAGCATTAAAAAATCAACCCAAAATTTGAAATAAAAAACAAGCCATTTATCATGCTGTATAAATAGAAATGGCTTTATCTGTGAAAAATACCATAGTCACAACATTGCCGACACATTCGAAAGTGTAATCAAATCCACCATTAAATTTCTCCATTATATAAGCTTGAAAATCCTTTTCCGATAAATCCATGGGATTAATAGTGTCAGTGGCACCGAATTGCTTTGCTTAAAAAGCAAAGATTAAGCAAGAATTCAAGAATTAACGCAACACTGATGCTACAAAAGAACCGATGTTCTAAGAAAAATTCAATAAAAAATCACTACCTAAATCTTCTACTAAATAAGCATTCTACAACTAGGCATCAGTTAATGTAAAAATGAACTACCTCATGAACTACTTAGAAAAAATTTTTGAATTTTGCAACAACCAAAATATATAAAAACTAAGTTATTAAATTATTAAATTATTAAACAGAATAATTCATACCAGCTTCAAACCTTGCGCTGTTTATATCAATTGCAACAATTGCTTTTGCGCCAACCAATTTCGCACCCATTATAACCGCAAGGCCCACCGTGCCAAGGCCCCAAACTGCCACGGTCGAACCAGGCTCAACATTACAGGTATTCAATACTGCGCCATAACCCGTCGATATCCCACAGCCTAGAAGGCATATTTTTTCAAGTGGTGCATTTGGCAACACCTAAAATCAGCAATCATATATAACAACAGTGCAGAATAAAAAAAAGCAAATGGTATACCTTAGCAACAGAGATATCGGCGACCACAGTGTATTCACTAAATGTACTGCAACCCATGAAGTGATAAAGTGTTATGCCATTAAATGAGAAACGAGATGTACCATCGGGCATTAAACCTTTTCCTTGAGTTACCCTAAAATCGTAAAATTTATCAACTTCTGAAATAATCGAAGTACTTTCGAAAGAGCTGGAGGTGCATTTTCAAATTCTTATTAAACAGTGATATTATCAGAGAATGTGGACGGACCTTAGAAATAGATTCAGAGTTAATGATCCAAAAGGAAGAAAAACAATATGGATTATGGGCCGGTGCTTCTGCGGATCAACAGAAAGATAATTGCCAGAATCGAGACTTGGCTTCGAATCTTACCGCACTGCGCTGCACTGTTATCTGCCTCTGATCACTCATGTCTAAGATACATTTTATAGGTGCGCAGAGTGCATAAAATCACACATGATCGCATCCACCTTCGTTCCACTTGTATTACCACTTGTATTAATAGTGCCATAATAGAGCATCACCTTCGCTGGCTAAGATACATTCTTCATAGCCCACCACAAGAGTTGATACATATTACATTACTTACTAAACCCTATATTCGGTGGCGTCAAAAGCGAGGAAGACGGATCAAGACCTGGACTGATACGGTCAGAAAAGATTTTAAACGCACAGGTGGACTGGCGATGACGATGGAAAAAGGAATGGCTATCATTAGTGTCGACGATGGCATCAGACCATGTCACAAAGAAACATCTTATTCTTGTAGCCACTGAAGCCAGCCTAACCAGTAATGAGAGCTATTAGAACAAGAAGATGCACCACTCTTCACCCGGCGGCAGTGTTGCCTAATGGAGAAAGTAATGATAAGAATGGCTCACAGCATTGTTGCTTAATTCGGAGCGCTCTGGAGCGATGCTACGGTTCTACTACCGGCAAGAGTAAACACTATCCTCCAAAAATCTGAATGATGGTAGCGATTTACTTGTATTTCTGTCGCCAAATGGCTACCTGGCATATTTATCTAACCTGAAAAGCCAGCGCAGCAATGGTGAGCCAAAAAAAAAAAACATTGATTAATATCAATGATAAAAAATAAACGATTTAGTTAACTAACCATTTAAATGCGTCAGCGATTCCCCATAATTTTAGCTCTATCGACCACGTGATTACCCTTCCTTTCAAAAGTATCACTAATTATCACTTATACTAATTTATATTAAAGGAACATCACGAAATACAATGTGCCCACAGAGTTTTACGAAATATGGGCTTTTTAATCACATCATAGTTTAACAACATAGTCATTCCATCAATTGATAGACATATGGGATTAAATAAAATTTTAAAATATTCCCGAATTTTCTCGTATTATTTATAACGCACCGAATTTTCTGGCATAAATTGGTCTTAGGATTCTTGCAGAATTCACATTCTTTGCATTGTGGAATATATAAGGGAATAACATGATCACCTGGAAAAAGTGGCGTTAAATTTATTCAAAATAGAATAAATTAGAGTCTATTTCTTGCATTCTACAAAAAAAGTATTTTTTTCAATCGAAACCCTAAGAATTTTTATTTGAAATTTTGGAAAAAGTAAAGTCAAACTCTCATCTATGTCCGATCTTTGCGTAACATCAATCCAATTACTTTCACTAGAAAATAGAATAAGAGATATCACCAAGATCGAATCATAAATTTGTGGAATAAAAATTAATTTAAATTCAAGATTTTTAAACCATTGATTCTCAAACAATGATGCAGAAACTTCTTAGAAATGATCCAAGCGGATCAGGATTCTAAATTCAAGAAATGGCACTTTTTATAGCTGATTATCAAAAAAGATTCATTGTTTATCAGACTCTATGCGCTCATGCGCAAATTACCTTTTGGAGGATAGCTGAATGGTTATTAGGTTAGTTTATTTTGGTTATTAGGTTAGTTTATATTTAGTTTATTCGGCTACTTCGACAGAAGTAGGACAGAATGGCGCGGTGGGATGTTGTTCAATTGGGAGCGTCGATGGTGAGGTTCGATTCCCCGCAGGAGTAAACCTGTACAAAAATCCAGGTGAAGCTGGCTGTATTTCTATCGCCAAGGGACTCCCTGGCTTATTGCCCAATGCGACAAGTCAATGGAGCGAGTCTAACCAGTAATGGTGAGGACTCTTAAAAAAAAAAAAACTTCGACAGAAGTAAATCTGCAGTGGAATATGCCTAATCAGAAACGATGAATTCTAACCATCTCAAAAGGCATTCAAAATAGACCCACAAAAGCGCTAGGGAAGAATTTTTGTACAAGAAATATTTAACTTTTTATAACTAGAAAAAAAAACAGAATAGCTCGGTTCAGTATTATTTGCAAAAACTGAAATAATAGTCACCAACGTCCACACTCGCAACTCCATCACCAATACTTTCAACTATACCCGATCCTTCATGACCAAGAATCGACGGAAAGACACCTTCTGGATCGTGACCATCCAAAGTATATGAATCAGTGTGACAAATTGCCGTATATAAAATCTGAAATCTAATTTAAAAATGCTCAATTGCACGCATTCCAGTGCTTTTTAAAACAATTCAAAAAGTACAACATACAGCGATACCTTTATCCGAACTTCATGAGCTTTAGGAGGTTGTACTTCGATCGTCGCGATTTCGAGAGGCTCTTTAGCCTTCCACGCAATCGCAGCCCTACATTTGATAACCTAAAAGACTTTTTTATAAAGTTTTTTAAGCCTAAAAGATCGGAACCCCTTTTCAGTCAGACACCATAGAACGGATATCTCGATAAAGATAACATATGGAATCATCCAGACTGTTTTGCAGAATACTGCAATAAGTGCAACATGCAGTTTAAAATTTTTTTCAAAGAGCACTCAGCATTGCTGGTTATTAGACTCGTTCCGCTGGTTTGTCGCACCAGAAAAATATGCTAGGGATTCCTTTGGTGATAGAACATATGAATCGCCAGCATCAATCGAATTTTAAGACAGGCTTTTTCTCTCCTGCCAGGAGTGCAATCTCAGCACCTGAGCTCCGAATTGAGCATTAACCCATTGACCCATTCTACTCTCCTTTGTTTTCCTCCATTAGGCGACGCTACCACCAGAATAATGGTGCGCCAGCGGATTCGAACTCAAGCCTCGGTCCTCGATCGCAAATACCATTGAACTACACACCCATCGACATAGTTTAAATCAGGATAAACCAACCAATTGGTTCGACTGCTGATCCCTAGTGCGAACAAGCGTGTTAATAATATTGAATTCTATTCGTGCTAGATAACCACCTGTACTCCCATGACCTGTATTCTGGACAACTATTCGGCGAAAAAGCTTCATCCCCAATATCCAGTGGAGGCACGCAATCATTTACATACCCTGGAGAGTACTATGGGTTTCACCGTTCTTATTATTTTCAACTCAATCCATCTCTCTTATGCGTTATCGTTTCGTAAAATCTTACAAAGGCTATATAATGAAATCAATTTCCCATATCACATGACACCATATGTCTGCCTAATTCTGTATTACTACGCTATGCTCTCGTGGACATGGCCATCTAACAACAAAGAATTGAGGTACAAATGAATTCCCACAAATCGATTCCATTTTGAGTATTACACCTGCTAAGCGAGAGGATAAATCCATTCTATGCAGTTCTTCGATTTATGTTATATCAATCGCCAGTTAAAAAATTTCTAGAGAATAACTAGCACTACACTTGTTAGCTTTTCTTTAACTGTAGTCATATAATCCAAAAATTACGATAAATATCTCTTATCAAGAAAAAAATTTGCTCACCTTACCACATGTCTCCTTTGTATCAATCATAGTCCTAACAAAAGGAAACAAAGAACAATTTGAATTTGCTAAATATATTTTATCAGTAACTAGTTATAAAAATTAATCAATACAAATCAAAAACAATTTCGTCATAACAAAACATCTTAACACATTGCCATAAACGAACGAAAACCTCTTCCGACAAAGGAAAACAGATATAGAGCGTCGAAATGATCAGTCCGACCCTCATTTCATGTTCAATGATGAAAACGTTGCAGCTGACTGGTTTAATGCCTCCAGCAATTGGAATAGATTTCGCTGTTTATTTGTCAGAGCAACGTAGAGTAAAAAATAAAAATATTTGTAAAACTCAAGGTGACAACGTGGAAGGGCCAGCTATTCGCCATACTGCCAGAGAGTGGATATCGGAAGATATTAGCCAAGCACCAGAAACTCGCATCAGTTGCGGCCACTAATGATTTTTTTTTCTATGACCACTTTAGTCATTATAACGAAGTTGATTTCTATCCATTAAGACAATTCAATGAAGTCAGTCAAAATAACAAATTGAAATGAGAAATCTAACGCAAAGATTACAAAAAATAAAAATAAAATGTAAAAAGAGAAAAACTGAATTGGCTAACTTCAACAACTTCATGTGCAGCTTTTACTGAAAATTGAAGGAAAAAAAATGAACAAAATGAAGAAAACACAAAAATACAAAATCAAATGAATCAAAATATAATAATAACAGAAAAATATAACAAAGAATGCACAAATAAAACAATAAAAGCAATGATCATAATAATAATAATAATAATAAAATATATTATACATCAAAGCAAATAATCACAAATAATCACAAATCAAAAATGATAAACAAATGACAAATGATAAAAAACGATAAACAAAAACAGGTGGAAACGGTATAAATTCAAACTTATCTTTCAAGGTATATTACACACTCGCAATGACTCGTTTTCGGAAACATATCCACAGGTGTGATCGATTTTATGCAAAATGGTTTTCCTTCATATTTTTTTGATGTAGGCCTGCACAGATCAACTAAATTCTTTTTCACCAATGAAGGGTTGCATGACACATAAATGAGCCGGCACAAATCTGATAGCTGCAAAAAATTTATAATGCAAACCTAATTGAAATAAGTGCGCCGAAAAGCGATCTTTAACGATTAGAAAAACATACTTTACGACATCCTTGTATGACTTTGACAGGAACACCTGCTCGTGGTGGATCGAGAATTCCAATAACTTTTGAAGATGAAAGATTGAAAGAAGCAGGGATGTACTGTTTGATATTAGGAAGAATTACTTCTGCTTTTCCAGTAATGAATTGAAACCTAAGGCAGTGCATGTTATGATAAGAGATAGAATTTATTTATTTAATATAAAAAATTTGAAATAATTATCTCGAAGAAAATTTTGAACCATTTCAAAAGAATACTAAATTTTACTCATCGCCATCAAATCCATTAGCAATAGCATTGCTTCTTGCATCTTCAACTGCATCATGAACACATTCGATACCAATAAGATATCTTTTTCCTCTACATTTCAGTAGCTTCAGCACGCAAATACCGATCGTGCCAGTGCCACAGCATATATCTAACAACAAGGTGTTGAATAATGCTTGATCAGATTTCTGAAAGAAATTAAAGAAATACTCCAAGTCTTTCAAGTCCGATCAAAAAAAATATAAATTCACGTCAAATATGATTAAAGTATACCAATGTTGAAACGATCTTCCTCTTTTTCTCATCTGGTTGCTTCATTGCATCATTTTCACTACACAATTCTTCTTCTGACACCACATATTTAGCAAGAATATCACTGTTAATGAATCCGCATTTCTCAACTATAAGTGAATAAAGGACAGCAGCACAAGAACTGTTTGTTTGAAAAAAGGCCGCAGGTGAAACACGAAATTGTATGTTAAGGATTGTTTCGTAAATGTAAGGTGTTCCTGTGAAAATATTTTAAATAAATATTAAATAAATAAATGAATGAATAAATATTTATTTCAGATTTGAAAATTATACTTGGAATTCATTTTTGATATATATATATATATATATAGTTTTGATTTGCATTAAAAAAACATTTTAGTGGGAATGGCATGCAACGAATATTTAGCAATTATGTACATAAAAACTATAATTATTTGATTATAGCCTTAATAGATATGAGATTCGATACAATAAAAGTGATTTCGCACGCTGAATTTGTTTGAATTTGTAAAAAAAGAAATGGAATCTTGCAAAATCAAGATAGCAAAAAAAAACGTATGAAAAAATTATTGTAGGATTTCGAAATTGGTAAGCTGATTTACAACACATATTTGAGGAATCTATTTTATATATTTTTTTGTTCGCTATTTGTTCGCAACATGAATACCAGTCCAAACTAAAGGAATATCTCCGAAAGTCCATTTCCACACTATGGCATACTAGTAGAAAGTTTGATATGCTGACCAGATATTCACGTTAAGAAGGGTGTTGGAACATCGCTTCAGATTTTCAACCCATTGTCACGTGTTTCATAGATTTTGCGGTTGCCTTTCATTTAATTGATAGAGCGGCGCTTTGGATGGTGATGGAACGCGACGGTGTACTAGGGAAAATCATTCGATTCACAAAGGTATTTTATGAGCGACGTCGGCGCAGGTCTGTGTATATGGGGAGCTGATAGACTCCATCGCTTTCGCTGGTTAGGGCATGTCCACCACAGAAGTCGACGCATATTTCGTTATTTGCTAAATTATTTGCTAAACCATGTGATGGCTGGCTTCAAAAGCGAGATGAGCCAATCAAGGCCTGGACTGATACGATCAGAAAAAATTTTGATTTTGAACATATAGGTGGACCAGCAATATATGAACTTAGACGATGGAAAAATGAATGGCTTCTATTATTGTCGACATCGGACCGCACCGCATGGAAGCGTCTTATCCTTGCCGTTGGAGCCAGTCTAACCAGTAATGGTGAGAGTTGTTAGAAGAAGATTTGAAACAACTAGTGGTGAAATGGAATATTTAAATAAGCAACTGTCGATATTTGCGAAGTTCGTAAGATCAGAAATGATGCAGTCCTTTTGCCAGGAGATATGAAGAAATACAATAAATAGAACAAACCTCAGAATGATGTTTAAAACGAAAATAAGGCTCTAGATAGACATAAATATCACTCGCTGGTGAAGTGTCTATATTCATATACACATCCTCGCTTGGAAAAGTGATAATTTTCAAATTTCTAGATCTATTCTTATATCGAACGTTTATGCAGTCTAAATTTCAGCCAGTACAGATGTAGCCATAATGCATTCGTCCATCTGACAACCACTCCAAAGCACTAACGAATCGTTTCAGTATTCAGAAATTAGCCTCAAAAGAATTTCATTGCAGTGTGGACGACCCTATCGCACGGTTGAGGAATACAGCCTATGTACCATTTTTGCCTATGAGCATTTTACACATCCACTTAGTGGATACAGCAGTGGACATCACACCATATAATCTGCACTAAGAAAATCGGCTTAGGAGCCGATTATGCTCGTTAGGACATTATCAGCAGTTCACCACAAGAATTGACGCAGACTTTACAAGCCTTATGATCTATGGCATCAAAAAGCAAGAGAACTCAATCACATAGTTTGATCAGATTTTGAACGGACAGGCAGCACGATACATGGACTTTGACGATAAAAAAGTGGTTTCTTTCAGATTTACCACTTGATATTCGATCGAAGTAAAATACCTCATTCTTATAGCCAGAAAAGCCCACTTAACCATGATACATACTGCCAGAAGAAAAATAGCAAGAAAACCAAACCACTGCATTGCTGTGGAAAAGCAAATTGAAACCATATTGTTAAATGAAAATCAAAAATTTAACCTATGACATCAAATTTTCTCATTAAATAATCAAAACAAAAACATACCACCAATATGCTCGTATTGAGCTGCATCGCTTGCGTTTATAAGCCTTTGCCAATACAAAGATGTTACTCTGAATTTTCTCGTCGGTTCAATAAAGTTCTCAGGCCGTAAGAACTGTGCAATAAACAAATTTTTTAGCAATATTTCCTTCTCAAGATCCTCGAGAGGATAGACAGTTACAATCAACATAACATCTCCAGCGAATTCTCGAACAGTTAACATCCTCCAACATCCTTTGCGTTCGGATTCATCAAATGGCTGTGTAAAACAAAATGTTAAAATTTGTGCCACTCCAAAATGAAAACAGCACGGTTAAAAACTAATTAGATGCTGAAATATCTTTAGTTATGCTATTTATGTCCTATTATATTATGTAATTAATTATTGAAACAACTTACGAACCGGTTCACCTGTTCCAATAATAAATTCCTCGAAAGTTTTCACGATTCTTTTCATATGTGAAGAAATGTTATCGCATGTGTCAATAGGAATTACATGATGTTCATTGAGAGCGAAACGACCACCAACAAAACCGACGCAAATATCCTTATTGATAGTACGACCAACTGTAAATTCACACTTATTGCGATAACACTTAACAACAGGTGATGGTCGAATCTAAAAGAAATTAATAAGAAACCCACTCCTTTATAAAATCCAATTTTCAAATGTTCTGTAAGAAAACTGCTTCCCAGTTGTCAGATAATCTCGTGATCGATCCAGCTCCATTGATTTTGGTCAAATAAACTACGTTAATTTTCTCTATTAACTCTTTGATGCTTTCATTCAAAAAATTGCTAGCCTATGCAATTATGAACCTCCAGTTAGCTTACCAGCGTGATAAGCCTAAACAGAAATAGTGATTGTTGCAAAAAAAAATGTCGCAAAATCAAAAACTTGTTTGAAAAGAAATAAATCTACCAATAACATCGAATTAGGGTATATCTCCAAATGATTCAAACAAGTTAAATAACTCTTAACAGTTGTCTGCTCCGACGCGCATATATCTTTAATTCTGTGATATATGCGATATACGTCACCACACCAAGGAAAAGCAAAAGCAATCCTGTAAACTCTTCAATTGAAGAAACGTTTCCATTGTACGTTGCGAACTCAGCTGTAGCTGCGTGAAACTTCAAAACGATTATGGATGTAAAAAACTAGGCGATAACTGTTCACACTTTAACTAAATATCATGTGGATATCTTGCCTATTCGAAGTTCCTGATTTGGGATCCATGGATTCTGAATTACCTTTGATCTGGATAAAAACTACTCGCTATATCACAATAGTGTTAATCTAGAAAGAAATAAGGTCGCGACTGCCATGTCCGAAAGGACATTCTGTGTAAGATCTTGTCAGCAGTCAGTTTATGATTCTTAAGCTATGCTCAGATTATCTGACAAAGAACGACATAATCATGGTCATCGGAATGCCAATGGAGAGAACCTTTTTGGGCTTATTAAGGACCATGAACTTTTCGTCACCAATAAAACATAGCTGGGACTCTCCACACAACCTTCGAAACAGATTGATTATATCTTGGTGAATCATCGCTGAATGGCTTCCGTACGAGACATCCACTCGTATAGCGGAAGCTGGCAATCTCCATAGATCCGATCAAGGCATGATTATACGTAATATCAGGATAAAGCTGGCAATAATGTAATAATGGCAATAATGTACCCACGAAATGTGCAATCAAGGCGAAAGATTCACAGTGAACTGGGATTTTTCAGGTAGATATTGCAGCAACTAAAGGACTTTATCAGTGGCATCTCCAAAACCGCTGATGAATACTGGTTCCAGATGAAGATCTAGAAGCCGGTTAAACTCACAGAGTGTAAGCGGAAAAAGGCAAGTCTCAGAACTAGTCAAACTGTCCGATAGAGCTGCAGATCAAGCATGCTAACCATCGGCAGCTCCACAGACTCGCAACGTTTTAGCATGATAAGAAAAATGATTTTGGAATAATATGGCTTTAAATACGGAGATAGCCTCATAGTAGCCTAAGATGAAAAAAGAACTGCCTCTCCTGAAAGAGAGACCTAAAGTTAAACCACGAACGATATTAACCAATGAAAATGACATCTGAATGTAAGAAGTTAACTACCTCTAGACTTTCCAGTGACATATTCAATTACTTTCAGGCATGGTAACAGATCAGGAGCCTTGAAAACGCTTTTCTCTAATCGCCAGTGGAATCTGCTGAATTATGAAAGGTGGGAAATGTTAGAAGAAGTAAAAATTAATGGGTCATAACTTTATATTTTTTTTATGGTTCATTACATCATTTATTGCATAAAGTTGCCTAAATTTGCCTAAACATGTGGTTTCAGCTCCCTTTGAATAACCATTTGAAAAAAAGATACCAACTTATATTAGTTTCAATAAAAAAAATTTTTTTGGTATCGCTTTATGCAACCACTTCACTCGCCTTATTTATTTAAATGTGTATGTAATTTCTAGTGCAGCCTAATTGTCTGCTAAATAAAAAAATTTTGCGCTATTTGTGAAGCAGCTCAATGGGAGGAAAATCAATAAAACAAGAATACTTACAGGTTCCACAAGCTTGGAAACAGACAATTTCCTTGCCTCAGCAATGTTAGCCTTATCCAGTTCTTTGATTAATTTTTTAACCACACGACTAACAGCTTGCATTTTCAGTTCAAGTTGTTTATCATATTCACAATCGCCAAGTGGAGTAACAATTTCTTTAGCCGAACGTATTTTTGATGGATTTTTATTAAGAGACAATTTCTGAAAATTTTTGACTAATCGATGAATTCAAATCTAGATAACAAATGGTCATTATCAAAAATATCAAAATATTTTCGGCGTAGTCTAAATATTATCTTATCAATTGAAAGTAAAATTTTCCAGGAATAAGAGTATAAGTGACAGAATCAAAAGAGATTGAGAAAAAAAGTTTAATACAAGTGATATAATCACTATGAATCAATATGTATCCTTATCACCGAGAACGATGTTGGAAGAAAGTGGAGAGAGAAATAACTTCAGTATGCGTATTAAAAACAAAAAACGAGCATTTCACTTACTCGATTATGCCTTGCAACCACATCGTAAGGAGCAATTTTCGCAGTGATTATTCTCCCTTTTATATTAAAACCATTTAGCAATTTGATTACTTCATGCGCTTCACTTGATGTTGCTAATGAAAAATAAACTGTGTCGCCCAAATGTCGTATTTTTTTCACGGTGTATCCTTTTACATATCTAAATTCATAAATAATAAAAAATATTAAAACAGAATAAAAGTACAAAAAAATAAAATGAGTAAAAATAGAGAAACAATTTATTTTCAAAAAAAAAACCTTATAAAACTTAAAACCAATTAATTTCAAATTTTATAAAGAAATTAGCAAATTTTTTTTCGTTATTTATGCAGAATATTTAAAATATTTAAAAAATATTTCAAAATGTGAAAAATAACTAAAGTGATAATTTAGTAGAAAATAAGAATTAAAAGAAAAATAACACAATAAGGCACTTAAGAATGAAACTTTTGATACGTTGATGGCCAATATAAGGTGGAAAATTTTGCAACTGAACACGGCATTCAGTCCAACTGCAATTGCCGCCCGTCGCGTTACGCTTGTTCGCTTCACTTGCCTCATAATTCTCTTCATTGTTCATTTCACTGCATTCATCCATATTCTATAAATCTTTTCGTTTTATTTAGAAAATATATATAAAAATATAAGAAGTATTTAAAAAATATAGAAAATACAAAAAAAAACAATCGGTCAAAACACCTCCCATTCTCTGGTAAACAATAACAATCCCCTAAAAAATGGTGAATTAAGCAAAATTAATACATCGCATCAAAAAGTAGCCATACGAGTTTTAATATTAGTAACTTTACAGTTGCGGCTTCAGCCTCCTTAAAAATTTATTTTTTTAAAAAAAGGCGGCAATTTTCATTTTGTGTCGTTTCGTTTTTTTCATAATTTTTTTATAATTTTCCTTTCTTTGGTGATTATGCAGGTGAGACCTTTCTTGCAAGAGGGATCCTTATTTCGTAACTGAAGGCAAATTCTAGCAGCGTGTAGCCGAGCCACTTGGCGATGAACAAAGGTGAGTTGCAAGATTCTTATCAAAGATAGATTTACCACTGCCTAAAATAAGTAGAATAAATAGTATCGGCGTTGCGATACAATCCATAACAATCCATTGAACCGGAAAAAAATATGATTGAGTTCGCTCGCTACACAGAAAATTTTCTTAGCAGATCATTAAGATAAATTCTACGTTGTACACAACAGGGGAGAATAATTTTCTTAACTATTCTTTTCTTCGAACACAATTGACGTGGTTCGCTGACTTCTGGCCTCGCTGAATTTTAAGAGAGAATGGCGTTCTCGAGTTCTTTGATCAGATATCTAAAATTATTTAAAAGCTCCTGTCACTTATTTATCCATGTATTTTTCTCTTGACCACATTTATCTTGTTTGGTGGTCCTTCTCAATCGTGCAGCTATCAAGGGATTCCTTAAGCAGCGAAGCCAGCTTCTAAGTGTTGCAATAGGACAAGATCCGCTTGAGAGGATCGGAGCAAAGTTTAATAGAGTTTGGATGCATAATCTATTGTCATCCAGTAATTTTGTACCCTTTTTCTTTATTCCCTTTACGCCTGGGAAAGTAATTAAAATTATTTGTTGTTTGTCGTTCATTTCATTTTTTTTGTCGAAATTTATTACTGCAGCAACCAATGGTCCTCAATACTGGTATAAGTCGCAATGACGATGATGAATGACGATGAAATTGAAAATATGAAGCGTTTCTCGGAAGCAATGCTTTTGACGAAACTGCCGCCAGAAACTCTTTGAAAAGATTTTTTTTCAGTTTACAGAAGATAGGTTAGAAATATTTAAGTAATCTTCAATTATTGCTATCTTCTCATTTTGTGTTAAATTCAAAACAAACTGTGCATTCTAATCTTCTGGCTAAACATGGCTGAAATCTTTTTGTTTGTCAGTTACTTTCACTTTCTAGCGGAAATAGAATGAAAATGAAAGTGGCAAAAGTTCTTCATGAATTACATGTAAATTTGAAGAAATTAAGATTTCCACAAAGCGTCCTCGGAACTGCAGAAAAACACACAATATTTGCGAAATAATGTGATGGTTCAGTAGATATTCTAATTGTCAAAAAATATCAAAGTTTTGCCATCTTAATTACTTTCTTCAGTGAAGTAAGTAGCGCATGATTACGCAAGGAAGTTTTTGCGCCTTTTCCAAATTACGCATGAATTTTCACGTATTTTATGAATCTCATGGTGTTAATAGTACATCTTGTTGCTTATTGTATGTTTCAGCAAAATTTTTCAGATGCAGAAGTCAATTTTTTTAAAGCAATTTTGTAACTACATATTATGTGGCTTCTATTTTTTATAATTTTATTTTTTCTAAATATCGCTTTCTAGATATCGCGTCTTTGTGAGCTTTTGAAGGAGTTTTTTACAATGATTTTTTTAAAGAATTTAAATGATTGATTGAGTTTTCATTCTAAATACAGCCATATCCATGCATCTCTTTTATCACTTTCAAGCATTACGGAAGGAACTTTCAGCGCTTCCTCCAAATTACGCATGAAACGTTTAAACGTATCATTACTATGTAAATTTTTTTTTTTTACTTCATACGTATATCATACGTATATCACCGTGAAATTTTGGAAAATTCACAAAGAAAATTATTATTTTATTATTATTAAATTGTTATAAAATTGTTATTCTTTTTTTCACAAAAATTTCCCAAGTTGCAGACATCAGCTACAGACTAGTAATTACGATTCTATAAAAGAAAATGACCTAGAAATATTGATAAGGGATAAGGTATTCTTGCTCAAAATATTCTTTAATACAAGTTTTTATATTCTTTCGAATATAATATAATGGATAATGTCAACTATGCCAAATGTAATGCATTCAAGGGGTTTTTGCATTATTATGACTTCAGTTATTTCAAACGTTTATGAAAAATATGTGTTTAAATTTTTTAAATACCTACTACTCTTAAAATATTCAGGTTGCCTAATGTTCCATATGACGAAAAGCGAGAATCTCAGCGTCATCTGTCGATATTGGGAAATAACTCTTCGACAAATATATCTATGGAAAACATGGATTTCATTTCGAACTAAACGAGGTTTCTGTTATTCAGCGACTTTCAGCACCAACCTACATTTTAACACCGTTGATTTATCGCTCAATGAAGTTTTTCTTCATTAAAACACATCTCAGCTAAAGTTTTGAAGAATTTTTTAAAAAAAATTGAACTACTTATAAGATTTCTTTCTTTACTAGTTTTTTCTAATGTAAAGTTGTTTAAGATGTTTTATAAGCAATTAATCTAATATTTTCGGTAATTATTTTTAAAAATTATTAATATTTTTATTAGACATAAAATGAAACATTAACATTTTAAATATGTAATATGTAATATAAGCGATGTTTAAATGATACAGTTCTTTATCAGTTGTACGCTTTATGATTATTGTGAATATTGCTTTTTTTTGCTATAATAAACTAATCTTATTTTATCACTTCATATTTTTATTTTATTAAAATATGCTGTAATTCTTTGTGCTGTTTTGTTAACGCTATTTTATTAACATTATTTAAGGGAAATTAGAGGTTAATTCGTTGATCGTTAGCCTAGAATTTACTGTTGTAGGATTTTCGCTTTGGCAGGTTTAATGATGCCTTATTGGCTATTTATTTCTCTAATTATAGACCTGAACTCTAGCTACATTTTTTTTCATCCTTGAACAGGTTAAGCAACAAATTGTTTGAAATTGTTTCGATTTACAAAATTTGTATAATTTGATATTCGCCATGGTTTTGCATACTGCTGAATTCAAATCAGTACATACTGAAATATGTAATTTAAATTTAGTTAGGCGCTAGCAATTTTTCTTGAGGCGATAAAAAATAAGTAAACGATAAGGTAAGCAACGAACAGTTATTATCATAGATTTTGTCGCTGCACTGTCCGTTTAAGCACCACTGAAAAACATCGAAATTTTGCAAATTCTTAAATTTCACAGTAATTATATCAAAGGGAAAGAACAAATTGTAAATCGTCCGAAGCTTATCAGTACTCATCCTTTGTTCGTCCACATAAGCAAGACATTGTATATTATATATATATATATATAGTAAATACTTTACATCTCGCTTATTACTACTTATTTATTTTTACTTACTTTATTTACTTTTTTATTTTTTTTCCTTATTTACTCTTTCTAAGCGCGCGAATCTTAAATATAATCGTAGGGAAATAAAAAAGTATATAAGTAAAGTATAAAGTATCCATATACCAACTTTTCCTTTTCCGCATGTTGTTCCATCGAATAGCGGTAGATAGCTCTTAGTTTCACAAGGAGCCTTTTTTTGCAATCGTCGATTACTGCACCAAAGTCGACGACACGGATTTGATTTTTTTTCATTTTCAATATGCTTAATTTTGTAAATTAAAAAAAATCCATTAAGTGTATGAATGCTTTTTAAAACCTTTTAAAAATTCTATTTATCTATATAAACCTTCAGATTTTATTCCTCTAACAGCCCTCACAATTAAGCATTAGTTAGGCTGACTTCGCTGGCTGCAAGAGTAAAAGTAACATCCCAAGCTGCTCGGTCCGAAGCCATCGCTAGCAGTAATAGAAGCCATTCCTTTTTCCACTGTCTAAGTCGATATAATGCTGGTGCGCTATACGTTCAAAATCTTTCCAGACTGTATCAGTCCATGTCTTGATTGGCTCTCCTTGTTTTTGACGCCAACCATCACAGGGCCCGGCAAGTAGCGAAATGTGCGTCAAATCCTATAGTGGACAATGGAGAACATGCCTTAACTAGCGAAGGCTACGCTCTATCATTATTAATACAGGTGGGCGAAAAGGGATACAATTATGTGCGATTTTGTCCGCTCGACGGACGGACGGTAAAATGTATCTTAGACATGAGTGGTCAAAGATTGATTGCTTTTTCCACTATCAATGGTCATGTTCCGCAGTCAGTTAACAAAATCGAGTTGTAGCTTATGGATGCGGATTTTTGTCTTTATGGTGATTTCGCGACGGTATCATAAAGGAAAAAAGACTTCTAGCTGTCGTTACCCGGGTTTCCATATTTCATCCTTTGCCTAGTCGCTTGGGATTAGAGTGGATCCAAGGTATTTAAAGTCGGGCACTTCCTCAATCGGTAATGAATTGATAAACATAGGTATTTTATCAGCATCATGTATATAAGACGAAAACATTACCGTTTTATTTACATTAATTGAGTACAATTCTCGCTGCAATTTTGACACATTATTCACATTTCATTATAACTGTCAGCAAGAAGACTAAATCATCAGCGCATTCAAGGTCTGTGATGCTATACTCTGGACTGATTTGCACACTTCTTGAATGTCGACAAGCGATGCCCATTATCCAATCTATCGCATAGTTGAATACTGTGGGGGAAAGGACGCAACCCTGATGGCACCAGTTTTTATTTTGAAGGATTCTCTCAGTTCCCCATATACCTGTACCAGGGTATGCTGATAAAATGCCTTTATGAGCCGAATGATCTTCTTTGGGACAACGTCATACTCCATCACTTTCCAGATCGCTGCTCTATCAGTCAAATCGAAAGCAGCTGCAAAATCGATGAAGCAAGTGACGATAGGTTGCTGGTATTTGAAGCGATGTTCCAGTACTCTTCTTGGCGTAAATATCTGGTCAGCACAACCACGTCCCGGTTTGAATCCAGCTTTATTAGGACGCATTCTACTAACTCGTGTTGCCATGAGAGAATTGTCTATTTAGCAGGAGGGAAGCGAAAATTTTTCCGAAGATATCTAGTAGGCTAATTCCTCGTAATTGTCGCTAGGTCCTGTCACCTTTGTTAAGAATTGGAAGCAAAATTGTTTTGCCCAGCCTTCTGGTATTATTTCCTTTCGTCATATCAAAGAATACATTTGTTGAAAGTGAGTTATGAACGATGATGGACAACAAGAGTTCGGCCTGAAGACCATCTTTCCGAGAGTTTTATTGGCTTTATGGATAACAGAGATTATTTCCTCTTCTGTTGGCTAATCACAGTTATAAAAATATGGCTCGGCGGGCAAGTCAGGAGCAATATCCAGAACAACAGATGATGCATAGTGGTTACGTTTATCCTCAAAAAATTCCTTCCATCTTATGAGGCGATCCTTTATAATGCTCTATTGCTATTTTTTTCCATTCACCGATCGTTCTTGAGTTATAATTGCTTTATGAAGAAGGTGGAATAGTTTCCTACTATCATCAATCAATCATCTCGTCTCCATTTTCAAGGCTATATCCCTCCAACAGTGATTTCTGTTCCGCCTTGCAAATCATTGAAGCACCCAGTAGTCAGGATTCAGGATCACCTGACATTCGTACTTTGGCAGCTTTTTCAGACAGTTGGACAGTTGCTTCCGATATTCAGCTAACGCACTTTCTACTAGTATACCCTAGTGTGAAAGTGGACTTTTGTAATATGTTCTTCTTTAGTTGGGACCAGTATTCATTTGCCTTTCCAGATATATCACTGACGTTTATTTCTCTGACTACTGGGTGCTTCAATGATTTGCAAGGCGGAACAGAAATCACTGAGGTGTTTCAATAATATGGTTTGAAATACGCTCACTCTCCCCGAATTTAATTTGAGATAGTTGAAGGATCTTGGGGGAGATGCTGTTTTCTGCGAGTTTCAATTTTATGCGGATCTTGACTCGAACCATAACATGGTTAAATCCGTGAAGATTGTCCGATCACCGCGACTATCTGGTACGGAACTCTTCCAACGGCGACTTATTAAGATATAATCAATCTGGTTGAAGTTTTGGTTGTCCCGGGAGTTCTATGTGAATAGATGTTTTCTACGATATCGGAAGCAAGTGTTGATAACAAAAAGTTCATGCTCTTCGGCATAAAGAAAAAGGCATTCCCAATTGGCGCACCAGTCTCCGATGTCATATTTGCCAATTGAGTCATCGCAGCGGCATTATGACTTATTATGACTTATGACGCGAGCATTCCAATCTCTTCCGATTATAACCATGTCATGTTTCGATAGAGACTTTGTTGGCAATCGAAGTTCCGCATAGAACTTATCTTTATCTCGGTCATCTGCCGATAGAGTTGGAGTATAGACCGATGACCGAGATATTGCAGAACTTATCCTTAAGATGGGCATAGGCCATACCGTCGCTTACCGGTTTCCACTCAATCTAAGCGGAATGGGCCTTGTCAGACATGATAATCGCTACGCCATTTCGTCCCGAGTTATTCGAAGCATCAGTGATATAGCCAGTATCTCTGCTCCGAACCAGGATTACTCGAGATTCGAAGTGGGGAAGACGGACTTCCGATAAGCAAGCGATATCCACATATCCACACGATATTTAGGAAGGAAGTGAACAGTGAACGCTTGACTTGCAAACATCTATAAGCGTTCTGACTTTCCACGCTGATACAGCTAATAGCTCGCCGCGCATGCAGAGGGTTATTCCCTTTGATAGGTTTCGAACACCCTGGCTTGCGAGCACATTTTATTTACCAGCCTTGGGATCGCTTTAAGCCCGGATTGTATACTTATCATATGTACCACCGGGCTGGGAGTATCATGCACGTCGGTAGACGCAGATGCCGTGTCAAGGATATCTGACCCTTTCATAGTAGAATCATTTGGAGATAGAGTTATAGGTGGGTCCCCAGCAACCACTCGAATTTTTGACATGACAGGTTTACTCCTGTCAAAGACATATTATTTTGTATTGTTTGTTTTATAATATTATAAATTATATTATATACATACATATATATTTATTTCAATTCTTGGTTTGTTTTTCTTTAATTTTTGGAAAAAGAGAAAAAGAAGAAAAAAAAAACAAAAAAAACTTAGCTCGTAGTTCGAAGTTTATACAAAATTCTAGAAAATATTCCGCAAAAATAATCGCAGCGGAATAATAATAATACAACCGTTCAAGATAAAACCATATATCTCTCCCAATTGGTTTAATAATTACTCGAGAGCCGAAGAAGTCGGACCTCCGATAACATCCACATGGTATTGAGAAGGTGTGGATAGTGGTCGCTTGGCTTGCAACATCCATAAGTGTTCAGACGTCCCAAGCAGCTGCAGCCAGCAACTCATCGCGCTTATAAAGTGTTAGCAGATAGGTTCTTTTGACGGGTTTTGAGTACTTATCTCGGCGAGCTTCTGTGCTTCTCTCTTGGAATTATTTCATTCATTTTACTCCGAATCGTATATTTGTCGCATGTACCACCGGGTCAGAAGTATATGCACTTTGGAAGAAGCGGATGCGGATGTTGGGTCAAAGAGACCCTGACCCTTTCATCATACAATCACTTGCGGATAGAGATACAGGTGGCAGCCACCCGGATTTCTGACATTATGACAGGTTTACTCCTATCAAAAACAAAGAATAGAGATAATTAAATTTAAAAAAAAGGGAAATCTAAAGACAATTAAGAAAGAAAATTTTAAAAAAACCTGTGATTGCGCAATAGCGATGGCATATTACGAAATAATAACAAATAATAAATAAAAATATAAAATAATAATATAATCATATAATCTCAGTGATAAAATATCTCCTTTAGGTCGATAAAATAATAATAATACACAATAATAATTAATAAAAATAATAAGTAGTATATAATAAATAGATAAACAATGATAATAAGTAAAAATAATAATAAATGATTATATACATATATACATAATGTATAAATAAAAAGCAAGCGACAGGAACGTTAGAAATATGAAAATTACAGAAATACCAGAGGCTGAAAGAGGAGCTAAAGAAAAACGATGTGGAAAGTGAAGGCCAAAGTGATTCCAGTGATCATTGGAGCACTTGGAACTCCTTAAACTAAAAAAGTGGATCTCTGTTAGAAATCTCCCAATCTCTCAGGTCTCTGGCAGAAGACCCGAGGTTGAGGGTGATCATTACCATCCACAAGAGGTGAGGCATTTTCTTTTAAATATTTAATTATATAAAAGTAATAGTACAACAGATTATTGAAAATTTCTTTAGAATGTAAGGCTTACAGCACAAATCCCATAATGACTACCGAATGATATAGCACATTGTCTTTGTTTCGTAATTAATTCACCAGGTAACTGTCGATTCATCAATAAGGGTGAAAGTCGTCGTCGTCGAATAGGCTTTGCAAACTGCCTCAAACATGCTGACGATTCGTTACTGTATGTAATAATGGTCAGTTTTGCAAAAGACATAGATACTTTAGGCTAGTGCTAGTCACTAAATTTCCATAAAATCATATTACAACGAGATTTATAATAATTCACAGTTCTATTCACAATTTTAAATTTATGTATGTTTATTAAAATATGGCCTAATAATTTTCGAGAAGACTTAATTTTACGTGATTTGTTAAGCGTTGGAAAAAATGTTGGGCTCTCTGTCTTGTGCTTTCTGTCTCGGCTTTTGCTCACTATTGCTTGCGCCAAATAGGATTACTTTTATAATCTCTGCTTTTTCATTCAGCTATAGGAAAATATATAAGAAGAAATCATCAATTCTTGAATTTTAACGTTACATATTTTAGAAGATCTAATGTTTCCATAACCAGTTCTTCTATAATTTTTTAATGTTGGAAAAATTAATGTTATGATCGTTCTCAAGCAATATAAATCATGAAGAAATAAACACTGACGCTAAAAACATTTCTATTTGTCGAATAGAACATTTTGATAATTTGAATGAATTAGAGAATTTCTGTTCGTCCTCGGATCCAGATATTAAAGGTGCCATTATATAATTCATTCTTTCATCACAGTCCTCACTAAGATTTATTCCGTCATGATATGCTCCAAGACTAGAAAACGATTAAAAAGATTAATCGGATTATATATTATTCACATTTGAATATAAACGTGAAATCAGAGTTGATTTTGGCAAAATCTTTTCTAAAGTACTCCACATAATTACAAAAATCTCTCGTGTACAGAGAAGTTAGTTGGGGACATTTGTGGTCAAAATTTGCTGACTGTTGATCTTAGCATATTTTAGCACGAAAAAAAGTTTTAAAAAAAACTATTGGACTGAGGTCGTGGTTATCGATAATGAACGCAAATGAACTGAAAATAGAGAATCTGAACTGAAAACACAATTTCTTTAATAAATTGAGTAGAACGAGACTTTATTGGTCCTACAGATCAGCCCACGAACTAACCAAGTGTTACTATATTACATTCCAAATGTAGACGAATGCTTTACGCAGATAATAGAATTACGATTCGATTCGCCTTCGTGAAAAAGGGAAAAATTTAGATAAAATACATGATAAAATACATTTTAGACGCGATTTATCCAACTTTTGCTAACCTATGTACGATTTCATGAATGGCTACAATGGCTGTAGCCATCCCACCGATATCCTCTACAATACTTACTGAATCACCAATATGGCACATAGTACCGACATATGCCATGCCTTGAGTCGAAGAATCTCCTTTCGACGCTAATAAATCATATCTATAAAATACGAAAACTGTTTTACCAGATTAAGGACTTGTGAAAAATAATAGAGATTTATTTGCTTCTTTTTTAAGTTCTTTTGGATTATTTTATCGTGGTTATAAAGCTTATTGAGTTTTTAATTTATTTTAGATTTTAGATTAAAAGGGAAAAAAGGATTTGAAATTACTTGGTCAGGAAAACTGCGTGATTGTGTTTTGGAAGCCATTGTGAATAATTAAGCAGCCATCGTTGAACAAGGCCTATAGCTTTCAGAGCATCCACTTGTAAATTTGCCCTAAAAATAAAATATATTTATTTGAAAGAGTTAAGTTTGGATAATGAAGCTTCCATATTAGCCAAGTAACATTTAGCGAAGCATCTGAAATACATTGGAAAGAAATCTTGCAGAAAGCTTAGGCCGGAATGACAGTGAAAGTTTATTCTTTATTCCATATATTAGGAGCATTGAATCTGTGAAATTTTTGTTAAAATGGCATTTTCATAACCGCAATCATCTATAAAAGCGCTCATTAGACTAAATAAGGATAATAAAGATAATTTGTGAGGGCAAAAAGATCGAACGTCTACTCCTTACCTCATCAGTTTGACTACTTTCTTAGATAAGTTCAATTATTGTTGGTACGATCAGGAATTGTTGCCAGATAGTCATTTGGAAATTAAAAGATGGAAAAAATGGATTGGTCGCATGCGCGGCTCGGATTTTGCAATGATAGGTTCCATCCTATGCGATGTCTTCCAACATGATATCTATTGTGCTATCCTCCCCTTATGCAAATCCCACATGTTTTTCTCATTCTGATACGAAAAATATTATACAAATCTTATCAGAAATGGACAGTGCTGTAGAAAAAACAAAACCCAATCTCATTGTTTTTGTAAACCATTTTAGTCACATTATGAAGAAGCTTATCAACAACATTAAAGTTATTCCTATTATGGAAATGGCATATAAATGCAGTTTGTCATTAAATTATAAAAATTATTAAGGGAAAAAGAAGCCGAATAGGCTCATACAAGCTAATAAAAATATTTGGCAAAATATGGCTTTAATACCTTAACTTTCATAGCTATTAAAAATCTAATGGCTAGCGGTAAACGAATTAATTGCTGGATTAAACAATTATTAAGGATTACCCATGTGTTTTTGCAAGAGCACTAGCACCATTGATAAAATAAGACTTCAGCGGGCAGTCTTCTTCTCGATAGATTATAAGTGTTGATTCCAGGTTCAGTCTTATATTTCTGCGTTCAAAGAATAAATTTCCCTTCATAATTAAGCGCATCTGAAAAGTCCTTTTTGAACTCTTTTGTTGCTATTTTTTTAATTCTTGGAAATGCCAAGAATTTTTTTCATTAATAAATGGATATGAATCGCTTAAAATAAGAATTCACTTCAATTCCTCCTTACATAATAAAATCGGAAAGGAGGTAGGAATGAGAGGAGGAATGATCACAGCTTTTGATTCATATTTGTTGCGATTATTGTCAAGCACCACCATTTCGATCTTTACCACTTAACAGAAGTTATTAAATATGAAATCACACTAGATGACTCTCTGGCAAAGACATCTGACCGATTCGTTCAAGGAATCAGTGGATCTAGCTAAACCAAAAACGATATATTAACGATATAATTCTTATTATGCGGTTCGGTGAAATCTCTTAAACTTAATTTATGATTATCATAGTAAATCTGATCAGTAGCATTATTTATTTATTATAGAAGGAAAAACTAAAATGAAATATGATTAATGTGGTAAGAATATGATAAGAAAAACATCCACCTGATCAAATACAGCGATTAGATAACTATTCATGGCATGATATGTCGAAAAATGATCATAACTGGACATATTCAGAAAAAATTCGTAAAGGGAATAATCTCCCACCATTAATAGATTAATTTGACCTCCACTGGATTTTTCATCGTCATCTATAGTAGCATCACTAATATTTTGCAGTGTGACGGTCTAAATTATCTTCACTTATTAGAATTTGCAATAATACAATAACAGATCCATAAAATAAAGCAAAGAAAAAGATTTAATTGAATAAAGGATTTGAATTAGACTATTGTACTTATTTTTTCAATAACATTACTATTAGAAAATAAAAAATGCCGCAATGAGTGGAGAAAATTACCGCAAAATGTGGCGAAATCGAGAAATGGCGAGGTAATGCTGAGAATTCATGAAATGGCTTCATCATGATTTATGCTAAATATGCAAAAAACAAGGAAACAAGGAATGTTTTTTATTTTATCGTGCCAATCTACCGCCTAATTCAACACATTCTTGACGCTTAATACTTCGCTATTTAATTAAGGTTCGTCACTTATAAAAATTACAAAAAATACCTTTCTAAATATTATACGGCCAAATGAAGATTTTCTATTAAGCCGAAGCGCTCCGTTAACTGAAAAAAAAGAAAAAACACCCGAATATTTTCGGTTCATGGAACTTAATTAGGATAATTAAACATCGTATCATAATATTTGATCGTTGCAAGACATTTGATTTATTTATCAATTTGGAGCAAAAACGTAGAATCGAATTTCAACTTGATTTTAAAATTTGTTTCAGCTATCTTTAAGAGGGATATTTTTCGAATATTTAAATTCGTTGTGCCTATCATCCTTTAGAGAAGTCGCTTCACACATTATCTCTAACGTGATAACTTTTAAACCGAACTTAAACAGTGAGAGTTTTGCTGCTTTGATATAAAAATTCTCCTCGTTTTTCAGAACAAAAGAGCATTTATTCTGGAATTTCGGCATCGGCCTTTTTTTTAAATTATAGCATATTTAAGAGAAATACACTTTTGTTTGAAAATATGTATGGTAAGAGGAGTAAGACCGCTCAGTATATTTTTGCTCTCACTTCGAAGTATCTCTGCTATAGAGACCTGCTTCTTTTCGAAAAATTCAGATGCTTCGGTCTAATCGAAAATTAATGTGGTCCGACTAAGACAGCGGAGCGGAGAGAGTCACAATCAGAATGTAAGTGAGTAGTTCGAGTCAATCGTATATACACTGCATAGTTCATTAGAATTGTGGTAAAACGAGTTATAAACGTATTTATAAATCATTATTACAAGTAGACAGATAAAGATGATAACTTCTTCGTGGTTATGCATTTAAATAAAGCGAATGATAATTTGAGCAAACCGACTCAAAAGAATTATAGAATGATTGGCCTTTTTTAGAATTATAATAATCTAATGAACTTTAACCTTTAAGCATGGAACAAAACAGCAATATATATGCAACCATTTTCATATATTTATCAAATTTCATGATTAACCATGCGGTCCTTGTTCTGCAATTGTTTTTCGTTGAAATAAAATGTGATGTTAGATATGATAAGCCGATTACGAAATTGGCTTTCGTAGCCATGTAAAATGTTTTAAAAAAAAAGTATGAAAAATGAATGAAAATTATTTTATAAACTTATTTCTTTGCTTGTCTTGGTAAGAAAACCTGTAATTAATGTCGCAACTACTGCGAAACTGGCTGCACTTCCATCTCAAATAACTCAATAACGTAAATAACTCACATATTACGATGCGTTTCCTGATATCCCAAACCCGGTTGCGCATGCATTAATATTCGAAAGGGGCCTTCAAACGTATTAATTAAAGGTAGTAGTTTTAGTTCTGAGGAGACTGCTTCAATTAAATTAAAGAGGTCGAATAAATGTCAATCAGTAGATTCTATATGTCATATTTTTTCCGGTGGTAGGAAAGAATGGGACGATGGGTGATAATGAAGAGCGTATGACAGCTTTCTTCATTTTTCTGAGGAGTTTTTGCCACTAGATGCTTTCAGCACCGCAAAAGGGGCATCTAGAAACTCTTTAGGTAATCAACATTCCGGTTAGATTGATCACGATCATTGGAAGAGCTTTATAATGTATTATAGATAACTGCTCGTATCGCGAATCCAAAACTGGCAAAACACTCCCATGGTTGAATCAGGAACAGCCGATGAGCTCTGTTCCTAAATTGTCTTGACTTTAGGTGACAAGAATGCACAATTGGATGCACTAATCAAAAAACAAGCTGGGCCTCGGATGAAACCTCTTTCAGTGCGGGCTTCTGTCCTCTTTTGGGGCGTGGCCTCTACTAGACTTCGGATCTTTGATACCAGCTCTATCAGAAGATAATCGAAAACAATTTTATCTACTTCGCAAAACAACCAATTCACAAACATAGCTCACAAGATATTCAGTGAAATTCTCCGAGATAAGCGTGGAAATCCTCTTAAAAGGCAGTCTACATTTGTGGAATACCTATCCTCTAGAGGAAGAAATTCTTTAACAGCAGACCATCCAAAATCCAGACATAATTTCAATACATTTGAAGCAATCAAGCACGCAAATGTTTCTGTAATTTGGAAGCTTAAAACGAATTAAAACACCGAGGTGATCATCAAACTCTTCAAAATTCCCCAGCGTTCTTCGCAACCTACCTTCAAAGATTATTTTCGTTGGTATAACATGAAGAGCAAATACCATGTTATAGGGAGTCCTGGAAGTCGAGTGGATAGTAATCGAGTTTAGAGGCAAGAATTCTTTTCCTGCTCCGGATAATAAGAGTGAATCTGCAGTTTAAAAAATACGGGTGATGCCGATGGCCCTAACAGAACGAGCTTGACCAGAAATAGTAAATGCTAGAATTAAATGATGATGATGCTTTTTAGTTTTGTTTTTTATTTTTATGAATAACAAAAATTTTATGCGACTGGTTGGAGAGATGTTGGACTATCTTGAATCTATGACATGATGCCAAAACTTGTCGTGTATCGCGTCGAAAGCGAGATTTTGAACAATATGGTAGGGACAAATTTTATAGAATGTATAGCTGAAGTGGAGATAAGCCAAAATATGAAAAGAAAACGAGTGCCTTCAATTAATTTTAGACATTCCACTGGATATGGGAGGTTTGCAAACGTTTTCCTTCAGACGTCAGTGGAGCAGAAGAGCCAAAAGAATTATGCTGCGAGCTCTCAGAAGAAGAAGCACTCATTAATTCAGGTTTGGTTGATTTCATTCATTGTTAAGAAATGAGCCATAGAAATAACACATGAAGGTGAAATGAATTGGTTACAATTTTTATATCGAATAATGCCAAAGCATCAACCGCTTTTCTTCTTAAAAGTAAAATGCGGAATACTAATTGCGGTTCAACATTCACATTCATATGTTTCCATCACCGGTAATCACCGGTAAAAAAAAATTTCACTTTAGTGGTGATCTAAAATTAATCTAAATCAATCAAAATTGATGAATGCTATTAGGCGAAGAAAAAGAATTAGCGATATGGTGAAACCAATCATTCGAATTCCGTTTTAAATGACATGATAAATTTAATCCTTTCAAATGATAAGAATTCAACCGCATGTTTTTTTTCTGCATTAAGCAACGATTCTTCCATATGTTTTAAGAAGCATTTTGAAATTATTCTTACTTAATGATAAATTTTAAATTCACATCTACTAAATAAAACCAAATTATCGAATTATTTTAATTTGATTAAAAAGTTTTTCCAGTAAAATAAAAAGACAAACTTTGCAGAAATACACTAATAGACAGGACAGCAAACCAAGCGAATCTAATTTACAGACATAATAAATTGTTTGGCTTTTCTAGATTTCGATCAACAGTTGTATAACAGTTTAATAATTTATATTGCTAGTGAAAATCGCCCTATCTTATGGGCGAATATATTTATTTATTTTGAAATACTTTTTACTTTTCCGTAGAATATGACTGGTATTATCAGATTATTTTTAATACTGCAGGCCAAAATTTTATCAGTATGTTCGAATAAGATTTTACAAACAGTATTGTATATTAATTGACTTTATATAATTGGTGGAGGAGATTATGTTTGAGTACCATATCGAGATTTTGTAAAGTTGAAGTTGATATAGCATAAAAGAAATAATAACGCGATTTGTTCCACTATATTAGAAAATATTTATGAGCTTTGCTGATATGAACCATTTATAAGAGGAAAAAAAAACCATTTTAAGTCATACAAAAAAATATCATGATAATTTCAAATCGTAAGCACCCAATGTAATCGGAGCGCTGATGCTGATGAGGTTCTATTACCCGCAGGAGTTAACCTGTTCTAAAATTCGGATGACGGTGGCGACTCATTTCCAATTCTATCGCCAAGAAACTACTTGGCATATCTATTCCAGTGCAACAAGCTAGAGCAACGAGTTTAACCAGTAATGGTGAGGACTCTCAAAAAAAAATAAAATAAAATTACTCGATATATATTTAAATTATTCAGTAAAAGAATTTCGACGATGGATCGGTCAAAAACTTTATCAGTGATAGCTTTATCAGTGTAAAATAAAATCGGATATATTATAAAATACGAAAAAAAAATTTTATTTTTACAATTGTTTATATTGACTTAGTGCTCCTGGAATCATAAACCATTGATAAACAAGTTTTTTTCTAATGAAAAGATGATAAAAAAAAATGAGAAAAATCTAACCTATGTTTCGGCATCAGTCGATATCTAATCAGTCACCACAAACTAGCTATCATAATGAAAAAAAGGCCAAAAATTTTCAACTATTTTATCCTCTCTTCTCATTTTTTATAAAATTTTTGGAAAATTTTATAAAATTTATCATAATAAAATAAAGCAATTCCAAAACAATATGAAACGCTCACGTAGAATGCGAACAACAATATATATATATATATATGTATAAACAAACAAATTAAATAAACTAATAAAACTAATAATTTGTATATTAATCAATTCACAAAAATAGCTGCAGAATTTTTAGTATAAATAATAAATTTAACATAAATTAGTAAAAATAACACCATTAAATAAAAACAAAAAAAAATAAAGATACTGATATCCGAAGGACTCGAAATCGAATTTTTTCTCAGCAATTTCAAAAACTTTTCACCTTTTTTGCAAAAAACTAGCCATACTACCACATTAGCGAAATTCGTACAAACAGCAATATGCTCAACGAAAAAAAAAAAAATTTTTATATTTGATATTATTTGATAAAATAAATTCGTCAAATTCCTGTAGATTCATACTCTGTAATAAGAAAATTCACGCACAATAAAATAAAGCTTAACTGAATCATTGTTTTTATCAATAAAAAAACGGATATCCACCTATTTAAAGAATAATATTTTAATAAAAGAATAATATATATCAAAATAATATTTTTAATAAAACAATCAAAAATTAATTAAAGAACCAACAAAAAAAAAGAAATTAATTAAAAATCAATAGTACCAAAATCTAAAGTAAAAGAAGCGAATTTCTGTGCTGACTAATTAAGTCTAAAGAAAGGATAACCGAATTTTGCTGCGATATTTTTCAGTAACCATAGAAAAAAAAGGATAAAACGGAAACATTAAATTTATGAAGAATGTTAAGATTGCTAAATATTTAGATATTTTATTAAACAGTGGCGAAAATATTGAAAATTGCCCATATGCCTTCCGCTTCAGTGCACTCGAACTTCTAACGTCAGATTAATAAAGTGCAATTAATGTAATGTAACATTAAAACAGATAGAGGATTTTGCATAATTGAATTAGCATAAGTCAAGAGCTGAAGCCAGATTACTTATATTATGAACAATAGCAATTACATTGAATTTCGGTGACAATTCGATGGTCATTAACAAATCGAGACGTTTGAATATATCATAGAGCCCCAATGCTCTATTTCTAAACATATTCAATCGAACTTTATCATTTGCCGCAATAGCTGACTGCAATTAGCATTGTTATTTCATGAAAATTAAATGAATATGAAACATTTTAAAATAAAAAGTTGTATTTGGTAATAAATACAAATTAAAAATGTTGGAATGAGGCACAGAAGACGATTTTTAGCTGTAAAGGTTGATCAGAACTTAAATAATCATTACGTTGAAAATTTCTTCTCGTTATGTAATTATAATTAAATTAAAATAAAATAAAACTGAATTAAAAATATAAATAACAATGATGAATTCGAAAATAAATAAATAGTTATAATTCCACCTTGTATAATTGAATAATGCACCACGATTAATGGCAATTGAAATATTGCATATTACTCGCGATTTCGAAAAAATTAAACTTCAAAATGAAATAGCATGCCTAATATTTATTCATAATATTTACCTCACAATCTTCATACGTGAAGCCGAGCAGACCAATTATAAGAGCATTATCAAGAATGCATTCAAGACTTTTATTAGTTTCGTCAATTATGCGTAATGTAATTGCCCACTGCTTTTTGGTAACAGCTTTCAATGGTTTCACAACCATACAGAAAACCGGCTAAACAAAAAAAAAAACCAGTTTTTTGATAATTTTATTTATGATTACTTATAACTTTTATATTTTCATCAATCCAATATTTTCGAAGAAATTAAACTCCAATTAATAAGAAAAATAAAATATATTTTGGTAAACTAATTATTATAGGAGTTCTCAACGTCAAAGTTTTTTCCACAGTTTTTTATTTTTAACTTGCAAATTGATGATATTTTATTCTTCAAACAAACCTGGATTTTAACGAAACGAGATGACATCCAAAATCTGCGATGGCAATTTAAGTAATTTAAAGTGAAAATATTCAATTTCAAATAGCGTTCAACAACACTGCTTTCACCCACTTTCTCCAAATTCGATAGATTTTCTGGTATTGGCTGTTGCAATGATTTTGAAAAAGACTGGAAGCATAGAATAGCCAAAATTATCAACAATAATATAAAGTAAAGGGAATTTTGCAGGTTATAAGATAATTTATTAATAAGCTTTCATCTAGTTTAAAAAATAATATTCATGGAACTTTCAGAATTTATGGCTGATTCATTATTTCTTCCCTATTTAATTCTGAATCATACAGTGAGAACAAAAATTGCGACCATACGGAAAAATAAAAGAAATAGTATGTAAGTATTCTTTAGTCAATAATGTAGGATGTCGCGCTAAAAAACATGGTTCTTATTGATCTCATAGAAAAGAACGCACTTCACCATATTGCATGTATTTGATCCTTGAAATTAAGTGCGGATTGTTAGTGGAATCAAGTGAACCATTCAACTGAGAATCTGCTGCAAAAGCAAAAAAATAAATGTAATGAATTATATTAAAATCGTATGCATAAAAAATAATGGGTAAAAGAAATGACCAATCGTACAGAAACTGTTTACTACAACCACAGATATTAGGTCAAAAAAAAAGAAAAAGTGCTCAGCGATCTTTTGAAAATAATAGATTTGCACAATTTTCAGTATTATATCGAATCACAAAACCCGACGAAAACTGCTACAAAAGCTGAACAATTTATTGGCAAATACTATTAAAAAGAAAAAACAACATACGAAAAGCAGTATGTTTCACTGACATTGCTGAAACATTTAACAGTGGAGTGACTTTAATAAATGGACGAGGCGAAATTAATCTAGAGTTTTTTGATGGTTTATCAACAATTTGCTCCTTCTAAAAAAAATGAAATTCCATACAAGCGACTAACTGATATAGTTAATGAAACATATTGGCGACAAGTGCAAGTAGGTTAAGACAAAAACCTTATTCTTGATCGCCTAAAATAGATCGCCCTTCAGGTGGAACGATCTAAATGATTTTGTGAATAATATTGGTTATTAACGAATAATAAATAATATTAATATAGTTTCAAAATAATGCACCAATTAGGTCACCGGAAAGTTTGTTCCAATGATTAGCAGCAAGAACAAAGAACTCACAAAGATTTTTTAATAAATTAAATAACGTAATTTAACATATGAAATTTCAGAATTAAATTACCAAAAAACCCATCTTACGGATGCATAAAAAATTATCTTTATACTTTGGCACACCCTTTCATATTCCGTCGAAGCCCAACATTTCTCAAATTCTTGGCATTTAGCAAATTCCTATAATTCTCCTTCAGCATCGCAAATCCCCGCCATGCTCATTCGATACCTCTATTCATCTTGGTTCTATCCTTTGCAAATTTATAATTTGCAAATGCGACTAAGGCAGAAGTGCACTGCTGCTAGCTTTGATGGAGCATTAAAACATCAGTGGAAATGGGCGAGATTAAGTCCTTTTTGCCAAGGTTTAAGCAATGCAAAAAATTAATATCACCAAAGAGATTGTAGCAAAAGAGGATATTAAAAAATTTAGGATATTAAAAAAGTTTGGGGAAGGTCTTTCGCAGAATATAGCAACCATTAGGAAATCTTGAGAGGCTTTTATCTTAAGTCCAGATTTCACAATTAGCAATGATGATTCCAAGAAAAATAATCAGATTGCAACAAAAGGGTTCGGCAGCATGTTGTATGATGCTATAAAATAATTAAGTGCTACGGAATTTAATGAGGCGTATCTCTAGATTTTTCCACATGCATATATAAATAAATACTTAACTCATTAACATAGCGAATTATTATAAAGATATCAAATCTCCATTAATATTTACGTAAGATTTTTTTAAAAACTCTACACCATTTGTAGTTTAGGCTTGTTCTTCTAGTTTGTTGGACCAGATAAATTTTGCTAAGCAATTGGCTATAATAAAATGAATTACTAATACTATTTGATTTTTGAAGGATTGCTACCGGGTGTAGAAGCCCAGTACAGGAGTACAGGAATTCCGAAATGAGGGCCACAAGTTGCTAAGCCATTCTACCTAGATAGTACTGTTATTTAATTTAAAAACAAGAGCTTAATGAAACTCATTTAAACCTACCTTTTATTCATTTCTAGCCTGTTCTAAATACACTGTTTCAACTTTACAATTGATCATTGAAATTGTTGCAAATATCGAGAAAGGGGTGAGGAGGGCAAAATGGCTCAGTGGGTTGTTGCTTGCAACACCGACGCTGAAGTGCTAGTCTTTGCAGAAACTGTCCAAAAATACGGGTGATCCTGGCGACTCACCTGTTCTTCTATCGCTAAAGACTATTCCCTGATATATTCTTCTAGGGCAAGCCAGCGGAGCAAGTCTAACCAGTAATGAAGAAGGCTCTTTAAAAAAATCTAGAAGTCCAGAAAAATCCAGAATGCTTAAATATGCATGAATATGATGAAAATTCAATCTAATTCATTATCAAGCCGTTGCTAGCCCAACTGGAAACCACAGGATATGATGTTTGAATGAGGCAGCAAGGATAGAAAAAAGTGGAATCAACATTCATACATCATTTATCCTTATGTAAATAATACTGAACCCGAGACTTATCCCACCAACATGAATCAAGGGTCGGCCATGAAAAACAAAACATCGTGAGCTTTTATTGCTTGCAGTAAAGTATAATTGTAGAGTAAACCTAAGGATCCTTCATTAGTTCATTAGTTGATTGTTGTTCCAAAACAAACCTAAGTTCGATGAAATAATGTCCAATATCCGATTTCGAAAATTTTCTTCAAAAAAATCCTTTCATTTCATGTACTATTATAATTTTCTAACTCGTTAAGATAAAGATACAGGTGAATCTTTAGAAATCACTCATATTTCATCAGATACTTTTGATAATAGATTTAATGTTATCAGAAAATGTAATCAGAAAATGCTATTGGAATCGAACGCATATTAACTGCCATCATTAAGGAGCAACATTTGATTCAATTGTTATCATTATTTGACAAATTATAAAATTTTTATTAAATTTACCTCTTCAATTTCCATTGGCTTAGAACCACGTTTTGTGTTTAGGTGAGATCTGAAACTAAATTTCAATTAAGATCATAAATTAAGATCATAAATTGCTTCAGATGATGTTGGCGACTCCTGTACTTATATCGCCAAGGAATTGGCATATCTGTCTAATCCGACAATCCAGCCGAAGGAATCTGAGTAGTAATAATGAGTGCTTTTAAAAAAAGTTTGCACTCCTAGAGAATAGGAACATCAGTCCTCTTAAGATGAAATTTCGTTGGGATTTGTTTTCTTATATGCTTCTCCATGTTTTTGCTCAATAGAACAAAAATAACAAATAATAGCAAAAGCTTAATTTAAATTTTTTATGAAAGATATGAATTGCTAAATCATATAATACTAAGCATTCTAAGAGTTAAAATTTTAAAATTAAGATTAAAATTCCTTACCTATTTATTAACGTATAACCCAATGTCCCTTTTTAATCTAAGAATATACAGCATTTCTGGCTTAGCCAGTTATACTGAAAAATGAGACTTTATTATTATATGGCTTATCAGCAGCCATCAGGTTTTCTGACAGGTTGGCCATGCCAAAAGAGATAGAACTCTATCTCGTCTTCGGGATAGGAATAAAACCCATGTTCTTTATGTTCTTTCCTCCTAAATACGGATCACTTCCTTTTATTTTTATTTTATTTTCTATATTTTAACTTTCATATCCATCGCTGCACTCATTGGTTACGTACTGCCCTACTATCGACTAGCTTATACAATCGTCACCTTTGTTACCTCTCCATTTGCTGTCCTGTGGGTTTGAAATCTTTTATTCCAATGTTCCCTCTCCTGCCTTTAATATTTTTTCGCCAATAAGTAAGGCTGGCTTCGAATCATTATTAATAAATCACTAACTACTAATAAATACAAAATAATTTTTTTGTATTTTACCAAAACAACAAAAAATAAATATACTGAAATTGATATACCTATTTCGAACACTACCATATTGACCAGTAGCACAGGCAGCTTCTAAAATATCAGATTCCTTCATTATTTCTGAACATGACAAACTCTGTACATTTTCTACAGATTTGGCGTCATTTGGAATGACCAATATTGAATCGTCGATTTTTTTATCACCAGAACTAAACTTAATTCTCTTATTGAACTCTTGCACTTTTCGATTATTTTCGCAAACATTTTCAATAAACGAAATATGCCGCTTTCTGTGAGGAATCTGCATTTGTGCGCAATCCGCATGGTTTGGCGAAATCTCTTCACTCACTTCTCGACCAGACAATTTATATGAATGAGGTGGGATTAGTGGTACAACAGGTATTGAAGATTTTTGATTTAAATTTGTTCGATATCGTTTCAATAGAAAATCTTTGACTGCCAATTTTGAACAGATTGGAAATGAGATATTTGCACAGTTTGATGAAATAGGTATTTCAGTATAGATACTTGTGTTGGACTCAGTAATTGTTTGACTGTTATTCTTCAATGAAGGAATATTCTTCTGTTCGTAAACACTGGCATAATGCGGTATAGGATTTTCTTCTGAATGAATCTCTTTAGGAATAATTTGGGGATCAATTTTTTGAAGAATTCCGTTCGATATTATCTTTGCCTTTGGCTGATTTTTCACTAATCTTTTCTTAAATATTGGATGGAAATAATTGGTAATTGAAAGCATCGACTCCATATTTTTTCTAAATATGCATAAAATAAGGTTCAAATTTTTTCCACAGTATATAAATAATAAAATTTTAATTAGCAACAAATTTGAAAGATAAAAATGAAACGAGAAAAGATAGTTTGATGGATGTTATAAGATAAAAATGGTGTTTCGAGTGAATGCTACGCATAACTGATTTTAAGAGTAATGAATTAATAAGCAACAGCCGTCACAGTTTATGAAACACAAAAGATTTAAAGTTGAGATAAAAGAGATTTAAAATATCTTCAGTGGCTATCATTAACCATTAAAATTATTGAATTAAATTTTGCCAAAATTTGGCCAAATATTTTCAGATATGCTTGAGATGATTCTTTCTATATCGATAAATGTAGCAGCAGCATTTATGCTCCCAAAAGCATAAATTTTATTTTTTTATATTCAAATTTTGAATTTTTTTCATGTGATTCTAATTCAATAAACGCATATCCGAATTTCAAACCAGACAGCCAAAGCATATTTCGAGATCCTGACTATGGAATGCTTCGAAGAATTACAACAACTCGGTAGGACCGAAATTACTACTTGAGTGAAATGATCTTGATAATGGAGATGACAATTTGATTAGGCGATAATAGGAAACTATTTCGCCTTCCTCACTATAACGCGTGCCTGCTAAGGCTATTAACGATCACCTTGGTGGAACGAATTCTTTGAGGCCAAACTTAACCACGATGAGCCATCTGTTATCCGAGACATAGCTGGTTTGCTCGTGGAACTATACGTCTGCAATTGTAGATCACCAATAGAACAGGAAATTTCTGTCATCCAGAAACTTAAAACGAACAAAAATCCTAGAGAAGATAGTCTTCGACTGAACTCTTTAAACATCTTCCGTCGTCCACATCATATCTTCAACAAAGATGCTCTCTGGTATTGAAGAAAGAAATAATACCAGATCACTAAAATAATTCTGTTCCCAATTCCCGAGAAAGATAAAATGACATACTGTGATAATTGTCGAGAAATCAATCCATTAGGTACCTTCAGAAAAATTTTCGCTTCCTCCCTATTGAATAGAAATATGGCAGTGTGAGACAGTAGGATACGCCTTAACAAAATTAGGTTTAGACTAGAACGCGACTGAGCTGACCAGATTTGCCTTAAGAAGGCTATTGGAACATCCCTTCAAATATCTGCAACCCACAGCCTGCAACTCATGTGTTTCATCGATTCTGCACATGCCTTTGGTTCAATTGATAAAGCAGCGCCTTAGAGAGTGACGGGGCGTTCCAGAGAAGATTATTCGACTCATAAAAGCATTTTATCAGCATATATCGGCATAGATCTATGTATATGGAGAACTGGCAGACCCTTTCGAAATAAAAACTGATGTCTGTCAAGGCTTCTTTTCTTCTACAGTATTCAACTATACGATAGACTGGATAATGGACATTGTTTAGCGGCATTCAAGGGGTCAGACCAGAGTATAGCATCACAGACAACGAATAAGCTGATGGCGTCCTTTTTGCTGATAATTATGATGAAATGCAAAAAATGTGTTAATAATTGCAGTGAGAATCAGAGTTAATGAAAGTCTTACACATAAGAAGCTGATAAAATATCATTTTTTATCAAATCATAGCCGATTGAGAAAATCCAGACTTCAAATATCTTGGATCTAATCCCAAATGAACGAAACATGAAAATTACAATATTGGCAAAGCGCGTAGACAGAAAACCTTCTGTTCAACGAAATCTTTATAAAGCCGTCACCATATCACTACGAATTACCGTAAAGACTTAAGTCCGCATCAATATAGCTGCAATTTGCTCGACTTTGTTATATGGCTGCAACACATGGCCGATGAGAGTAGAGGCTATTAAGAAGTTATCTATTTTAGACCACTCATGTCTAAGATACATTTTACGGTTTCGCCGAGTGAATAAAATCTCACATGATCGCATCCACCTTCACTTAAATACCACTTGTATTAACACTGCCATCATACAGCGTCACCTTCGCTGGTTATGGTACGTTCTTCGTCCACTTGCAAGAGTTGATACATACTGCGTTACTTGCTAATTTCTGTGATGGAGGATATCAAAAGATGGGATGGGCCGATGGGCCAAATCCTGAGATGAGCCGATCATAAGGTTTTGAACGTATAAGGGGATCAGCGACATATGGACTTCGATGATGGAAAAAGGAATGGCTTCTATTTCTGTGAAAAATGGCATCGGACTGGACAGCTTGGAGATGTCTTACTCCAGTCTAAACAGTGGTGGTGACAACTGTTGAAAGAAGAATCTCGTTCATTGCATTAAGCCATTCTATCTTTATAAAAACTTTGGAAACTTTTTGTGATCAAACTATATTACCAGTGAAATATTAAAAACTTTTTAATAATTAATTTTTAAGAAAAGCAGGTAATATCATTATCATACTTGCTCTTATTATTAACTTTTTTGTTCACATTATGGAGCACTTTTGAATTTCCGTTAAATTTATCCAGAATTTGACTGCGTTCATCATAAGAGCAATTAGCATTGTTTTTCTGAATTAAAACTAAGGTAAAATTCACAGTTGTACAAAAATATTCTCGGATTAAAGCTTATGCAATGGAATGCCTCCCATCAAAGACTCATTAAAATAGTCCTTCTAAATTTAAATGAAAAAAAAACAATAATAGGAGATCCAATATACATTGCTACACTAGCATTAATTAAAATTTTGCAGTTGCACAAAAGGACGTAAAGAAGGATTTTTAAGTTTCATCTTATCAAACAACTTATCGTTGTTCATTTCTTTCCATAATTTTCTCAACAGTTCATTAATAATCATATAGAATTTATCACTCAATTAGGTAATCGAGAAATTTACATGCTATAGAAAATAAAGAAATGATTAGCTTAAATGAAGAAATAAAAAATATTCACTAATGCGATGGAAAATATTGAAAATAGAAATATATACAAGCATCATACTTTAGTACTGAAAGAACTGAAAGTTGCATTCAAAGATCCGAGAGATCGTTCTTTGCTTCTTCTAAAGTATTCATTGTCACTGTGATCGCATTTTATGCACTGGCTCTCTGTGATTCTGTTTTAAAAAGTAAAAATAACATAAAGCAAATAGATAAAAATGAACATTATCTTTGTATCTCAATGATCACACAATATTTTCATCTTCTTCTACAATTGGAGTCGAAATTTTCGTGAAGGAATGGAAATTTTGATAATACGATGCAAAAATGAGTTAAAAATTATTTTCTATAATAGAAAGAACGAACTTAGGAATTGTTAGATTTTGCTGCTTAGAATTTATCATAGTATCATTCGAATAGACCATAGCCATTTCGGTTTTATTCAAGCTAAAAATTATTATTTATTATTATTATAAATTAATGATAATTATTAAATTATCTTTAAATTATTAAACAATAAAATACAATTCCTTAGCATGGAACATAATCGCTATAACATAATCTAAGAATTTCATAGCCATATTGTCATTAACTGAACCCCAAGAATTTAAATTTATAAAATTTAAATAAATAAAAAAATCAGTCATTATTCAATGAAAAATCACCTGACTTGTAAAGCGACACTTTGATCATTTAGGAAGCGTTTAAGGACATCCATATAAGAATTTTCTTTCGCTTTCTTAAATGCATCACCACCTAAGAATTGTGTGTTCTTCGCAGTCAAAAATAAGATATTACGCCGGCAAAAAATATCGTTGCAAATAAAAATCTAAACATTCATGTCTACATTATTTTGAATAATTGTCGTCCATTAAGAACTGACGCACATCCAGATACTTGCTAAGTTTTCTGACGTCGAGAAGAACCAGCGAAAACCTGGATTCTTACGGTTGGTCGAATAATCGGATAAGTAGCTCAGAAATATGGGCATAAGCGATAGAAAAGGAATGGCTTAACCTACTTTCAGGCATCCTCTTGCTTTAGTCGCCAGTGCAGCCAGCCAAGCAATCAATGATATTAGCTATTAGCTATTAGAAGAATTTCGAATAAATGAATTTAAAAATTGAGATATAAATATTGCCTTGAATCCAGGTGGCCATTTAACATTAAAATCTTTAATATCACCAAACTCCAAGCCTTTTAATTTTCGTTGACCATCGGTTACTTCCAATAATAACGATCGATGTTTATTTTCCATCAAATTCTAAGCATAAAATTTCATTTGGAAGTGAAACCAAATCACTTTGAAAAGAATAATCTGATAATAAAAATTTGCGCAAATAAATTGGAAGGTTCAACGAAGTAAGCAAAAAGTATTTAAGTTATTGATGAACATATAAATAAGTATGGACTATAAAATGTGTTAAAACGCAAAAAATATAAATAACCTCCATATTATCTTCGTCATACTCGTTGTTAAAACCACTGTTATCATTGAAAATTGGATTAAGTGAGCGATATTGGCTATATTTTGATATATGAATATCAATTGCCCAATTAACCTGAATAAAATTTAATTATTTATTACGAAGTTCGATAAAATAAAATTTTGAAAATAAAATAAAAACAAATAATTTCGAATATGAAGCAGGCAAAAATATTTTATTAAATATTTTATTAATATTTTATATTTATTAAAGATAAACATGTACTTGAAGTGGAAACGGTTGAGTCAATTTAATTCGATCTGCAAATGGCGGTAAATGAAGCGATGGAAAAGTACTTTCGCCAAGTTCTGAATACAACCACTGCTCGAATATCATTTCGCATAGTGCTTGATTGGACTGAAAACTTCGGCAATTAGCCAGAGAATTCGAGAAGTTTTAATTCCACTTGGAAGTACTTAATTAGCAATCGTATCAACAACGAATTTTTGAAGGTTTAATTAACAGCGATAACTCGCACTCGCACTTCCTATAAGCTTCACGAAATTTAACAAAATCTTATCTAATGATAACAAAATTTCACATGCTAATTCTGATAATATGTGATATTTTAAATTTTTAAAAGATTGCAAATGTTGCAAATTGCGTTGCGAATCATTTTTATTTAGCTCTTTTTGTCTCATACTCATAGTGAAATAAAATTCATTCATCGGTTTCTTTACTTCCTTATCGCTTCATTCATGATTTATCAAATACATGAATAAATCCAATCCAATAAGACTTCGCTGACTTGTCGAACTAAGTAAATTTTGACTCATTCGCCAACTGAACTACAAGCGAGTGGCGAGCATTTTCCGAATTTCTAAAAGACAAATTCGCTCCCATCGAAAGTGAAACACCAAAGGGCGCCTCGAAATGACTGCAACAATCCACTAAGCTATTCTATTTTTGTGGAGAGCTTCAAAACTTTTTGAAGTCAATAAATTTTCGATTTAAAAATAAAAATTAGCAGAATAATTTTTAAAAAGTTCAATAAAAAAAACACAAAAGATTGAAATTAATGAAAATTTTTTGAAAAAAATAGAAAAATAAAATAGTGAAAAAAATTTAAAAAATTGACGAAATGTATTCAAATTTAAATTCAAATATTTGTGTAAAAACCATTTGAAAAAAAAATGAAATAAAGGAAACCTACGAGAAATTGCGATTGTTTTTGACTGATAATATAATTTATAGCGTCGTTCAACCAGTTCGCTTTTAATATTATATGGCGTTTACGAAAAAAATCCGAAATAAACGAAATTTGTTGTTCGCTAGCAAAATTCATCACCGCTTCTGCTGAAAAATCCGTTAAATCTTATTGCAAATATTATTTATTTAATATATTTTTAATTTTTTTATATTTAATATAATATATATTTTTTATTATTTAATATAATATATTTTTTATTATTTAATATAATATATTTTTTATTATTTAATATAATATATATTTTTTATTATTTAATATAATATACATTTTTTATTATTTAATATAATATATTTTTTTAATAATCTTTAATTTTTATAATATTTATTGCTAATATTACCTTTTACAATAATTATAATACAATAATTATATTTTGAAAGATAAAAAAATGGATAAAAATGAAATAAACATTGAAATGGGTCTCGAGTGGAATTTTTGAATCTTGTAGCATTAACTTGCGATTATATGAATAGTGTGTAGAGTAGCGTGTTGATTTTTTCGATCACTTATGTTTGAGCGGGAAGTGGCTGAACCCGTATCGCGCTGAGGACGGGAATGGAACTGTTACTCAAGGTTGTGAATCTCTGCCTGCTATATAGATTTTGATTTTTTTTAATAGAACCCATGCATATTTATTAAAAAATAGCGCTGAAGTTAGAGGCATCGATGAGGGGAAAACAAATTTGACAAATGTGTATTTCACGAATTGACTGAATTTGAGCGCAAAAACCGGAAGAACCGGACCGTCAAGAACCGTCAAGAACCGGACGAAATTTATTTTTGACAAAACGACAGATGATGAATGATAGAAAAAGGCCGATACAATGGCTTCGCTAAATAATTTGCCTGTTTTGGCCAAAATTTCGGTTTTACTCGAAGAAGGCTATGGCGAGTGTTTTTAGAAGCCTAATGCTGGATTGATCCATTTGAGAACTCGCTAAAAAAAACGTACAACGATCGTGCAAATGGAAATCTATTTGGAACTCGCGAGCTAGCGAGCAGACAAAAGTCCCATCGTTTTGCATAACAACGCGCATGTTGCAGAGGTGACTGCAAATATTCATTGCCTTCTGGTTATCTGTTGAAGTTCTTCTGCATCGATCATTCTCTCCACCTCTCTCCCATGTAGAATTTTATTTTTTCCGCGGTTTCCTCGGAGTGGGAGCATTTTCAAAAAAAAATGAACTTTAAGCCTTCCTGCAATGGTTCATTTACTCTAGAAGCTCGCATTTTTATGCAAATAAAGGAAATATTATTGTTGGCAAAATTTTGTTTAAGATAGTTAATTCTCGATTAAATTATAGTTTTCCAAAGTGAACGATCTAAAACTGCGTACTTATTGTATTTTTTATTAAGGCTATGAAAATTGGGTATTATTTCAATTTAATATAAAAAATAAAGAAAAATATTTTGTAGATTTGGTATTTTGTTTTAATTTACAAACGATGACGATAATTTCATTTTAATTTCATTTCTTAAAAAATTCAAATAATTTGCCTATGAAAAGTAGTAGTGAAAACTAAATTAAAGGAAGAAAAAAAATACTCGTTTTTGCGGGGTTAATAGATTTATGTGTGATTCACTAATGGACTGATAATTTGCTCTCGTTGATTTTAATCTAAAAAAATCTTTTTTGTCTTTTTTTTTGCTTTATTAAAATTCACTGCAAACTTTTTTAAAATATTTTTTTATCATTCATTTCAGTTATTATTATTTATTATTTTTATTATTGCATACCCTATTATTTCTTCATATCGAATTAATTATTAATAATTCATTAAGTTGATTTCAGAATTGGCTGACTTATATTGATTTCTTCAGATGAAATTCTTGCATAAGAGATTGGCCATTTGGAGGTATTGATGGATCGTCAAGTGGTTTTCTGGGAAAATTTATCGATATGCCAACGGATAAGCTTAGCGAGGAATTGTGGGCGTTTATTAGGAAAAAAATTTTTTTGTAAAAATAAGTTTAAGAAAAAATTTTTTAAAAATTTTAGAGAAATTTACTTCTCCTTAGAAAATTGCTAGCAAATCGTTTCATACGTTATCACGAGTTGCAGAGAATATACGTTTCTTTATCGTTGAGTGACTCAAGTAAATGTATGGCAAATGGGTTTGATCCTAGTCAATGGAACCAGTCAATTTAGGAGTACTAAAGGCGAAGGTACTATTAGCATTCATTTTCGCGAAAATGAATTACTAGAATTATGAAAAATTTTAGCAGAAGAAGCAAGGGTTTCATATTTTGTTATCATGGCTACACCTTACATTTATATTTACAAAGTGATTCTCGATTATTTGACCGAGTTACGACTATTTGCTGCCGTCAGCTGTCCTTTTTTCTAGCTTATTTATCGTATGGTAATGGCCTTAACGCCAAATATTTCACTCTATAACGCATTAATCTATGCATTATTTTGCTCCAATAAATATTTTGTGATGTTGGAAAATAATTTTATGCGTCTAGTCCGATTGTGATTGCCGTAGATTTATATGTAAAATTTGTCGAACCGATTAATTTGGTATTTTGACGAATCTTACCAATGATGATTTTTACGAAGCTAACAGAACAGCAAACAATTCAACTCGAAAAAAACTGGAATGTTTCCACAGATAAATTAACTATTTCATGAAAACCCTTTTTTAAAGCGATCTGTAAAATCGCTTACCGAATTGTAGATAAAAGAAACGACAGAGCAACTGGAACTACCATTAATATAACCAGATGTTTGTTTTTATTCGCTATATGCAGCTGATGCCATAAAACAGGAATTTTTACTCTTTGAGTTCCTTTAGGAAAGTAAAAAGGTGGTGTCGTTTTGAAAAAACTTTTCCTCCAAAAGCATTTAATGGAAAAAAAACGTTTATTCTCTGTGTACACAATAGTGATATTTAGTAATGAAAAAAGAAATTTCTTAAGTCGTTATCAGTCACTGCATACATCCTATGGTAAAAAAGGCTTGTTTAAGTTGTAACCATAAAGATATAAGGAGAACAATTTGTTCAACAAGATGGTGGAATTTGTGGTTGCAACGCTGCAAAAAAAAGATTAATTTAAATGAAAATTTGGAAGAATCTGAGCAAGAATATTGAAGAAAATAAGAGCAAATAGAATCGATACCTTCAAGTTGCGATTTCGGTGGGTTTATATATCGCTTCGGGCAAAGATTAAATTTAAAGAATGAGAAATCAGAAGCGACAGAAGTGCGTCAAATAAAATAGTATCAGTTATTTATAAAGTCTAATAATAATGAAGAAACTGAAAAGAAATCAAAAATGCGAATAATTTTAAGCAAGCAATTGTCAATCACAGTCATTAGCCTCATCGGAAATAAGACATGAGAAGATTGTATTTTGAAGATTTAAAAGATTTTGTTGAGAAATAGCAAAATATGAAAGGCTTCTCTCTCTCATACAGAAGTTCGATGGCTTTGAGGATCTTCGCTAGGTGCTAGCATAAGATGTTTTCAAGTCTCCCAGTGGGATGTCATTAATTGAAGTATTTTTTTTTTATTGCCATTATTAAGCCAACGAATTAGTATTCCATTTGTGTATTTAAAATTTCTCCCGATTGTGTCGATTCAGGTTTTGCCATCCCACAAAAATTTGAGATCAGTGGGACATATAAAATTGCATTATATAATGGTGGATATTTAAAGAGAATATGTGCAGGGAAGATTAATATTAAAGCCTAAACAACAACTCATGATATTGGCGTCTCATCTTCCATTTTATCGTAATTTAATCGTCAAGTGATCCCCTGGCAAAATCTGTTTGACCCGTTCAGTCAGTAAAGTGAGCCTAACGAGCAACAATGAACGCTTAGGAAAAAAAAGCAGTAATAGTCTTGGCATTTAAAAAAAAAAAACGATATTCGGTTATGTTAAAATATACATTTTGAATGCATTTCATTATTATTGTATTATATTAGGTTTCCATTCCCGTTATTGTTTCCATTGTAATTCTATATGTTCACGAAAAAAGGTTCTAAAAAGGAGCTTGATGTGACTAAAAGCGATCGGTGGCGCAAAAAAAGTTTAGAACTTTTCATTTATGGCGAAATAGTCGTGTTGACTTTTATTAAGCGTTTCGCTTCGGAAGATTGTCATCTTTTGTTTCCCATAATT